CTTTGCAGTGGTGTTCCTGGTGTTCTTTGCAAGCTAGATATCGAGAAAGCCTATGATCATGTCTGCAGGAATTTCCTGTTTTATTTGTTAGAGAGGATAGGTCTTGGAGAGAGATGGAGGAAATGGATTGCTACATGTGTTTCCACTGTCAGATTTTCGGTGTTGGTAGACGGATCTCCTACGGGGTTTTTCGGCACTTCTCGCGGCATGAGGCAAGGGGACCCTCTCTCCCTGTTCCAGTTTATTATTGTTATGCAGGCCCTTAGTAGGTTGATGAGAAGGGCTGTGGATTTGGGGTTCATTAGGGGCTTTAAGATCGGCCCTGACTCGGTTCAGCAGATGGAGATCTTTCATCTACTTTTTGCGGATGACACTATTGTTTTCTGCGAGGCAGAGGTGTCCCAGTTGCGGTATTTGAGATGTGTTTTGATTTGCTTTTAGGTTGTCTCTGGTTTGAAAATCAACGTGGGTAAGAGTGTACTTGTCCCTGTGGGAGAGGTTCAGGAAGTGGATTTTCTGGTTACTGTTTTAAGATGTGGGACGCGACGTTTCCCTATTTCATACTTGGGTTTGCCGCTGGGGAACTCTACCAAGAGGGTGGGAAGTTAGGACCAGGTGATTGAGCGGGTTGAGAGAAGATTGGCTGGTTGGAAAAAGCAATATCTCTCCAAGGGTGGTAAAGTTACGTTAGTGAAGAGTATTTTGGCAAGCCTCCCAATGTACTTTCTTTCGCTTTTTCGGATTCCAGCCTCTATTGTTGGAAGACTGGAGATGCTCCAACGTAACTTCCTTTTTTTTTGGGGGGGGGGGGGGGGGGGGGGAGAGGAGGAGTTTAAGTATCATCTTGTCAAATGGGAGCAGGTTTGCAAGCCTTTTCAGTTGGGAGGACTTGGGATTAGGAGACTGGCCCCTTTCAATAGTGCTTTCCTAGGCAAGTGGCTTTAGGGTGGGATGAATTCTCCAAACATATTAGATTCAGAGTTCGGGATGGAAGAAATGTCCGGTTTTGGGAGCATTCCTGCTGTGAGGATAGGCCTTTGGCTCTTTTGTTCCCAAGACTGTTCAGGATTGCTGTTGACAAACATGCTATGGTTGCTAATTGCTATCGCCTTGATAGCAGGAGGTTGTCTTGGGATGTGCGATTCCGACGATATTTTCAAGATTGGGAGTTGGATGATGTCACTAGTTTGTTGGCCTCTTGTACAGACAAGAGTTGGATGGCCCTGGTGTGGATTCCCTGATTTGGGTGCCTTCTACACAGGGTACATTCCAAGTCCGGTCCTTCTTTGTGCGCCTCTCTGGTTTTCATGGTATCACCTTCCTGTGGAAGACAGTGTGGCTTTCTAAGGCGCCTCTTAGCGTGGACTTTTTTGTGTGGACAGCAGCTTGGAGTAAGATTCTGACTTTGGACAATTTGAGGAAGAGAAGATATATCATTGTTAATCGGTGTTGTCTTTGCAAGTGTTATGGGGAGTCCGTGGATCACCTTCTGCTGCATTGTCCTGTTGCCTATGATTGTTGGAGTCTTATGTTTGGTTTGTTTGGCATCCATTGGGTCATGCCTCGAACTTCTTCGGAGTTGCTGGATATCTGGAGGGGCCAATGGGTGGGGACTCAGGCTAGAGACTTCTGGAGGGTGACCCCTTTTTGCGTTTGGTGGAGCCTTTGGAAAGAGCGTAATAGAAGATCTTTTAATGGGAAGGAGTACTCCATTGGAGCGCGGAAATTTTCTATTATTTGTACCCTTTTTGTTGGGGTTGGGGGAGAGATTTTTCTTCTATTGAGGATATTGTGGACTTTTTGGGCTCTTTGAGTTCATAGGTTTCATTTTTTTTTTTGTACAACTTGGGACGCGTTCCCCTTTTGAACGCATTATAATACATTTTACTTATAAAAAATAAAAAAAAAATGTTAACTACAAAGTTGAAGGCTCTCAAATTCGATCATAAGAAATGGAATAAAGATGTTTTTGGGAATCTTGAATGGGGGAAGCATAGAGTCCTTCCTGATTTTTATGAGATTGATCACCTAGAAGAGGCGGGTGGGGATGTAGAGTTTTTGTGTTCTAGAAAAGCTTCTAGTCAGGCAGCTCTTGCTGAGATTACTAGAATGGAGGAGATATCATGGCGACAAAAATTCCGAGCTCTTTAGCTAAAAGAGGGAGATCGTAATACAAAACTTTTTCACAGACTCGTTAATGCTCATAGAAGAAGTAAACATATAGGGCATATTCGGGTAGAAGGTGTTGAGATATGGAGGGAGGAAGATGTGCGAAATGGGATTGCTTCTTTTTATCAGAAGCTTTATACCGAGCCGTTAGTTTGGAGGCCTAAACTAGATGGTCTTCATTTTGAGGCTATTTCTAAGATCGATAGGGAGGGGCTTGAGATTCCCTTTACTGAAGAAGAAGTTCTAAAGGCTTTATCAAGTTGTAACGGGGACAAAGCTCTAGGGCCAGATGGATTCACTATGCGGTTTCTTTTGGAAAGTTGGGCTATTGTGAAAAACGATGTGATGGGCACTTTTCAGGAGTTTTATTCTACTGGTGCCTTTGAGAAGTCGCTAAATGCAACTTTCATTGCCCTTATCCCTAAGAAAGGAGGTGCTTTTGACATTAAAGACTTCCATCCTATCAGCTTAGTGGGTTGTATCTACAACCTTATGGCTAAGGTCCTTGCTCTTAGGATTAGGGGAGTGACGGATGGGATTATTTCGGATTCCCATAATGCTTTTGGTGGAGGACGGCAAATTCTTGATTCAGTTCTTATTGCAGGCAAATGTGTGGACTCTAGATTGAGAACTGGTGTTCCCGGAGTCTTGTGCAAACTTGACATTGAGAAAGCGTATGATCATGTGAATTGGAATTTCCTACTTTATTTGCTTCAGAGAATGGGGTTTGGAACTAAATGGAGGAAATGGATAGAGACATGCCTTTCGTCTGTCAAGTTCTCTATTCTTGTGAACAGGTCTCCTGCTGGTTTCTTTAGGTGTTCTCGGGGTTTAAGATAAGGAGATCCCCTATCAGTTTTCCTTTTTCTTATTGTTATGGAGGGATTAAGCAAACTTATGCGGAGGGTAGAGGATCTTGATCTTATTAAGGGCTTTATGGTGGGAAGAGATCTTGTTCATCAGATGGAGGTCTCTCATTTACTTTTTGCGAATGACACCCTTGTTTTCTGTGATGCTAATGTGTCTCAGCTTAGATATTTGAGGTGTATCTTGGCCTGTTTTCAGGCTGTCTCTGGTCTGAAGGTTAATGTGGCTAAAAGTGTGCTTGTTCAGGTTGGAGATGTTTAGGATATCTCATCTTTAGCGGCAGTCCTTGGGTGTAGGGTGAGTTCTTTTCCAATTCCGTATTTGGGTTTGCCTTTAGGGGTTTCCTGTAGAACGGTGGGGAGTTGAGAACCTGTGATTGATAGATATGCGAAGAGATTGGCAGGATGGAAAAAGCAATACTTGTCTAAGGGGGGGAAAGTTACGCTTATAAATAGCACTTTATCGAGAAAGTTACGCTTATAAAGAGCATTTTATCAAGCCTTCCCACATTTTTTTTATCTATGTTCCAAATCCCATACTCTGTTGCTGCAAGGATTGAAAAAATTCAAAGGGATTTCCTTTGGGGTGGAAGAGGAGAAGAATTTAAGTATCACCTTGTCAATTGGGAACAAATTTGCATGCCAATGAAGTATGGTGGTCTTGCTATCAGAAGACTGGTCCCCTTTAACCAAGCTCTTTTGGAAAAATGGCTATGGAGGTACGAGAGGGAAAAACATTGCCATTGGCAAAGGCTTGTTTCATGTCAATATGGGAAAGAGAGTGGTGGTTGGTCTATTTGTCCGGTCTCTCTCGTGGGAGGAGTTGGGGCGTGGAAATTCATTCGGAAGGGATGTGATGCTTTTTCTACTCATATCAGATTCAAAGTTCGTGATGGTAGATGTGTACGCTTTTGGGAGGATCTTCGGTGTGGTGACCGGCCTTTATCTTGTTTATTTCCCAGATTATACAGTATTGCAGTTGATAGACATGCCTACGTAGCCAACTGTTATCGGCTTGATAGTAGTGGGATTACGTGGGACGTGCACTTTCGACGCTCTTTTCAGGATTGGGAGGTGGACGAGGTACGTGTTTTTCTGGATTTGCTGTATCGACAAGAGAGGTTGTGATGACATGACATGGATTCCCTCTTCCCATGGTCGCTTTAAAGTTCAATCCTTATTCTTATGTCTTTCAGACTTTGATATCGTTTATTTTCCGTGGAAGACTATTTGGCATTCTATGGCTCCAAATCGGGTGAAGTTCTTTGTTTGGACCGCTGTATGGGGTAAAATCCTAACGATTTCTTAAGGAAAAAGGGCAACTGTTTTGTTAACTGGTGTTGCCTTTGCAAACAAGATGGTGAGTAAATTGCTCATATTCTCATGCATTGTCCTATAGCAAGGGATTGTTGGAATCTTATCTTTTGTCTATTTGGTATGCGTTGAGTTATGCCTCGTTATCTTAAGGATTTGATTCGTATTTGGAGAGGATGCCGTGTGAGTAGTGTTGTTCGCGATTATTGGAGAGTTGTACCACATTGTGTCTGGTGGTGCATTTGGAAGGAGAGGAATAGTAGAATGTTCGAAGGGAAAGAATCGTCCACGGCAATTCTGAAACTTCACATCATACGCTCTCTTTTCAGTTATGTGAAGAGGAAGTCTTGTTCCTCTCCCGAATATTTAATTATTTTTTTGGCTTCTTTGGGGCCTTAAACCTCGGTTCCACTTCTGTATAAGGGATGCGTTCCACTCTTGAACGCCTTTTTATTTCAATTATTACTTATCAAAAAAAAAAAGGTATTAACTAGAGGGGAAGCGAGTGAGATTTGAAAATTGCTAAGGCACCTAGGCTAGTGGCTAGATGACACAGGATCAGATTTGAATATAAACAATGACAAAAGAAACAAACCATCAATCTGCCAAATTAACTCCAGGTATAAAAAAACATAAAACTAAATAGATCACCTGCATTCGTTGGACATCTTCTCTCAGGCGTTCATATTCTTCCACATCGATATTCTTGCACTTCTCGACCAACTTCAAATAGAGACAAAAGTTTAAATTCTGAAGAAAGAAAAAAAAATCAGTTTAAAATTTAAACATGCAGTACCTCAACAACCCTCTTTCCCAGGTGATCTTTCTCCATTTTTTGCATTTCAATATCTTTCTTATAAGCTTCCACCTCAGTGTCTCTCTCCCTCAGCAGTCTCTCCAGATTCTCGGTTTCGATCCTGGTTTTTTGGGCTATTTCACGTAATTTCTAGGAGCAAATCCAAATCAATTTCTGGTTAATCAATGGCATCAATATTTTTATACCCGCAAATTCATCAGCAACACAATATCAAGAAAATGAAAAATAATTTAAAATTTTTTCTTCCCCAAACCTGCTGCTCCTCAAAATTGTGCTTGTTTTCCTCTCTGAGTTGCATATTACTTTCACGAAGCAGATTCATCTCTGTGACCTGCACAGATAATTCAACATGAATCATTTCCAAGGCGAAAAAATCTAGATGGCAATAGTTTAAGATCCAGGAGGGTATGATACACAGCAATGCATCTACTGAAATATAGGAATATTTATTGGTAAATGTAATGCAATTAAACTACAATAGAAAAAGAAAATTAATGAGACCGACTCTATACATATGAAACAAAGACAAAGATAATGATAATGACGATGATTGTTTTAGATTGTGGAGGGGAAATCTTTGCCACAAGGTTACTGTATTAAAAAAAATTGTGACTTGAAGTTAAGGCAAACTAAATCCACGTGCAACTTTGCCAGGTTAAAAAAAAAAAAAAACAAGCGCAACTTAAAGTAGCCACTTCTGACAAGTTGATACTAGTAGTAACTCAGAAATCCATAACGCTTTCCAACTTCAAACTCCAATTTCTAATGTCATCATCAGTCCTTTTTTGGATAATTTGATTAGTCTACAATTAAAAACTAATATTTTGTAGTCCAGCTATAGTTGAACATTGATTTTTTAGGCAGTTCATACAATGTGCAGAGATGATCAGTATGGTAAATGAATTATAATGGTGATATTAATTGCACAATGACATAGCACTAGTAGTAAACCTCTGTGGGCCTGTCGAGGAAGTGCAGAAAAGGATTTAATTGAAATGCATCATGATAGAATAAAAAAAAAATTATTTTTATGAGATCCAAATTCCTTTAGTTATACTACCGAGTACCAAAAAAGAAGGTAATGCAACGATCCACAGAATGTTTCTGATAGAACATAACCTGAAGTTGTAGAGATTTGAACTCTTCCTCTGTGTATAGCAATGCTCTTGAATTAACTTGCACATCAATAAGTGATGCTTGGGCTGTCTCCGCTGTTTTTAGAGCACTTTCAAACTACAAAGGAAGCAAATAAGTTTTTATTACATCCTAAATTAAAAGCCAACAAAGCAACGCAACCATAGGCAAGAAATCATGAATAGATAATCGGATCCACATCAGTTTAACCATGGTAATACTGGATGCTGACTCCAGAGCTAAAAAACTGGGAGCAACAAACATCATTTCATATAATAGAAAAAATTTAAAACTTGAAGCAACATAAAACAAAGTTAAGCTTTATGCAAATTAAATGCGTGTGTGTGTGTGTCCCAAAAACTAATTCTCAAAAACTAATTAGGAATTATATGTCCCAAAAAACTAAATCTACATATGTACGGACAGCACAAAGCCAACAATAATATTGTCCTCTCTGATCCCAAAGTTAAATTCTTCCGGTCAATAACTCTTAATCTTCCAACTGAGGGAATCCACACCCAAAAAAAGAAGATATTGTTGTTAATAATTTGAACATTAGAAAATAAATAAATAAATAAAAGGAAAACAATCAATATCAAGATTTCAATAATCTTTATGACGATAACTACCGAATTGATCGGTCGTACATATCCACTAATCTAATATGAATAACTCGCTATTCACTCGGTTTTAGGGTCATAATTATTATGTAGGAGAGATGGCCAAGTGGTTCAAGGCGTAGCATTGGAACTGCTACGTATGCTTTTGTTTACCGAGGGTTCGAATCCCTCTTACGTACCTTCACCCAATTTACCGATGTTACTGACCGCAATGTATCAAATAGTAATGTATACCATTATTCCAACAGTTAGACCGTTCTTTGATGTTGATTCATTAAAAATACACGAAATTGTTCTAACATCAAAGAATTTTGATTCATTAAAAATACATGAAATTGTCACTTATCAAAAAAAAAAAAAATACACAAAATTGTTTTATAAAGCAAACATTTTTGAACAATTTCTAGTTGAGAGACAATCTCTAAGACATATATAGATCGCTCAAACATCACTCAGAACTCACTCGAACATCACTCGCACTCGAACACAACTCGAGGTAGTTCTAATTGATCAAAGTTTCCTTGGATCAATCAATTGGACCAGAACTGACTTAGAAAGAAAGAAAGAAAATTTTGAAAAGTATTCATTGAAGAGCGACCAAATGGGGGACGTGGCCCAAAACAACTGCACAAAAACTAAAGCCTCAATAGATTTACAATTAGAGCCTTGAACCTCCATAGATTTACAATTAGATCCCTGAACCCAAAAGAATATAGAACTAAGTATAGAAAATCTAACCACCCCCAAGGAGACTCCTCCCCATCAAAGGATCTCCCATATTGGCTTATAGAGCACAAATATCCAGAGTATATTATTTTATTTTCAAAATTAGCATCTTGAATTAGATGGCCAGTTCTAATTCAGAGTGTTGAAACATACATATCCTAGAGCTTCAAGGACTTCAACATCACAACAAATTCCACATGACAATCAAACAATCAGACGTTACTAGTTACGAAGATCAAAGCACGGATTGAAAAGTAAGTGGCATGAGAAACAGATTCAGACTGGAAGCAGCAAAAGAATGTCCGAGTATGGATCAGAGGTAAAAAGGGTTTCTTGGTTTTACAGTCTGAAACCTAGTGTTGTCGCTTTTGGGGAGGAGTAATTTTTAGGGGACATGTGGGACATGCATTGTCTCCCTGGAAAGTTACTAAATTGCTCTTTTAAGTTTGAAATTTTAAACTTAAAGGACATATATGGAAAGATACAAAATATATTATTTCAAAATTGAAAGAGAACAATATTTTGGGACAGACAAAAAAGGAAAGCATGACACTTATTTTGGGACAGAGGGAGTACTTTTTTCCCAACAGTGGATATGATCTGCCGAGATTAGGTCCCATTGTTTCTTCCCTAATGGGTTTTCCATAAATAAAAAAATATATACGAAATTCACATCTATGGATGATATTTTTTGCATTCCATTCCTTTTGCAATGCTTGTTGATTAAATTTAAATTTCAGTCCTCAAAACCTATACATCCCCCACAAGGTCTAGTTCGGCCTTTTGCAAACTGAGAGTAGAGTCACGCTCCTACACCTCAATAGGTATCACATCACACCAATTGCAGATTGTTTAGATACATTACTAACTTGTGAAAGAAAGATACCTGTGATTGCAACCGGAGCTTTTCCTGTTTTAACAATGAAATTTCTGTTTCTGCCTGTAAAAAATTTAGCGTAAATGTAAACATGACAGTAAAAAAAGGAAAATGTACTCAATGAGAGGGTGAGCTTTACTTACAATTTCCTTTGACCTGCGCAGATAATTTACCACATCTTGCAACCCCGCATCATCAACTGCATTTTGAGTAGTGCTTCTAGATGAGATTCCGGCGGAATCCCGCTCCTTCTCAGCCAATTTGATGTGCAAAGCCTCAAGCCGACTGTGCAGTATCTTGTTCTGGAGGCAGTAGGAGTTCAGATAAGCAATATGCCATAACATTACCAATAAAGATACATTACATACACTATGGGGGGTCCATGAAAAAGTACACAGAGAATCAGAATCACTGCTGAGAAGTGTTTGATATCCTTCTACAAATAATATGGTACATGGAAATGAACTAGATAAAAGCAGAAAGATTCATAATGAGCATGTAAAAACAAGAACCTTTAAAGCGATCAGGTGTAAAAATAAAATAAAAATATTCCACGATTTCTATAGAAGCATCATGTTGCCTTTTATTAACAAGTACAAGTTTATATCCCATTGCAAAGAAAATAAAAACAAATAAGTTGTGGAATTAGATAGTTGTACATAATATGTTTGAAGTTAGTATTAACCTTCATTTCAATTAAATCCAAACCATAGTTCATGCCAGCATCTACTTGTATAAATTTTCCGAACTGCCATAACATATAACGATTCAACTTTTTTATTTAATGATTATTTTTTCATCATCTTCCTAACATAGCCACCAAAAAACCTCAATAGGCATTGCAATGAATTTGTAGAAATGTCATTTTGTGGAGTGAAGCATCAGATATTGAGCTCCTTGTTTTAAAAACCTAAGAAGAGTTTGTCTTTCCGCAAGAAATGAAAGCATAATATTTGCTTTTCCAAATAGTTATGCACATCCTCTGAGTATTGATTTTGCAACCTTTGGCACATTTATTTACAATGTTTTTACTCATCGAAATATATACATATAATTTAAAAGATAATATGGCTTATATTTTCCGTGTTTATTTTAATTAATTTACAGGCTCATTTGTAAAAATTAATTTGATGTGCATTAAATGTGTTTTACTACAGAAACATAGTCAGATAAACAAAATGAGATTAAATTCATTAATATTTAATTCTCTATTTTCGTCGATATTAAATTCAGCAATAACCTGTTCATCAATTTCGTCGCATTTCTTCACTGCTTCATTCTTTGATTTTTCTAGAACTGACTTCTCTACTTCCAACTTTACCTTCAATTCATTCTGCCAAAATACGCAAAATTTACATAAAGAGAGAATATAAATTCAAGAAAAAAGACGAATAAAATGTAACATATGATGGCCAATTCGCTAAGAAAGATGGTTGAATATGTAGCATAATTTGACAAGTTCTGAGAATTCCTTGAAAGAAATGAAACATCAACATATACTTTGTGCAGAAGAAGAAAACAAAGACCACAAAGAAACTAAACCAGCTCCAATATTTGATACATTATTCAACTGAAATATCCCTGATAGTAACATAATGTAGCAATCCTTTAGAAAAAGTTATAAAAAATAATAATAATAATAATAAAAAATAAAAATAAAATAAAAAAACATTAAAATTTAAAAATAAAAAATTAAATTAATAAACTAGATTAGGACTTAAGCATAAGCCACAGTCAGTATAAAAATTCTCTATTAGTTATAAGGCTACAAAGGATAAGGAAATCAAGAGAGGAGCAAAATATTTAATTCTCTATTTTCTTTTTTCGATTTGGCACAAAAGGATAGTTATTAATTTATCGCATTGAAAATCATCCCCAGTGCATCTCGTCATCACCATATAAAAAAGATGCCCTTATATTCATCTTGGAATAGTCACACGTAATGACAAAATGACATACACAAATTAAATAATTCTGAAATAAAAAATAAAAAGAGTATCTGAATCACACTCACACTAAAACAACTAGCTTTTCTAAAAAGAAATACAAGTTAATTGCAAATAATGAGCCTACATTTTCAGTTTTGAGCATGTCAACCAATTTACGTAACTCAGATGCTTCCTCCTGCAAAGAAGCCAAAGCTTGCGAAGTTTTTGTCAACTCTTGAATTGTCTCTGACTGTAGTATAACCTATACAGATTCAAAGTGAAAATTACTAAAAGTACCAACAAACATGCAATGACATAATTATGAGCACGTCCAGAAACAGATATGACAAGTTAAATAATTCTAAGAGATGAATACAAAGGGAACTAAGTTTCATATAGGACAAAGTTTATGGCCTATACTGCCATCAGCTTTTAAAACAGCTGCAATTTCCAGATTTGAAGCAATAAAATAATAGGCTCGTCAAAAGGTTGATTGTAATTATTAAGTTTCCTCGCTCGTGCTGGAACAGAAAGAGAAATGAAAGAAGAGAGAGAAAAGAGGGAGGGGGGGTCACCCCACAATACATGCCCACACATCAAAATCAAAAATCTTTGCCAATTAACGAAACTTGAAACATATTTAAGTGAACAATTTGTTGGGATCATGAGTCGTGTCGGAAATTCCTACTCAAAAATAACTTCGGTTATAATGTGTGCTAAGTTGCAAAGAGTCATTCGTTTACAACCGTATATGATAAAAAATGAAGACCAGTGAAGAACACAGCGCAAACCTCTCAAGACACAATCACATATCTAGGGTATAGGGTTTTGAATCAAAGTTTTCTCAATACTTACAAAATTGTAGATTTTTGGTCGAGGTAACTCAACCATGCATATAGGTGGATAAATCAACATGGTCCCGGGAAAAATTCCAGTCAAAGCATACGTGATAAAGGAGTCAAACAAGGAGAAAAAGAGCATTTCAACAAATCAGAGCATGAGCAGAAGAATTCATGGAGAAGTAGATTGCATGAGGAATGACCGTAGATGAACCGGACATGTACATGAACCGGACAACATGGATACTAGAGTGAAGAGTTTTAAGCTAGGAAGCACGGACACAACAAAATGGGCGAAAAATCCGTGTCCGACACGTGTTGGACACACCAAAAAAACGTGTCTGAAATTTTTTATTTTTTTTAAATTTTCGGACACGGTACGGACACGCGTCTGACACGCCAGGGGGGTGTGTCCGACATGCGTCTGGAATTTTTTTTTTTTTTTGGGAATGCCGATATGTTCTTTTTTTTTTGTTTTGTACTACACTTTTGGTATTGTAAATGGTAAAAGTCCTAGGTCAAATGATGGATGGGAATAGATGATAGTACACTGACTTGTTTTTGTATCTTTTTTGGGGACTAGCCTTTAGGTTTTTGTGAATGTTAAGTGCTACCAGTAAAGTCCTGAATGTCCTAAATGTTAAACAATCATGAATGTTAATAATCCTTTCTGTCTATGTTTTTGTATTTGGAGTAAAGTTGCAATGATGATTAAATGATACTAGTTATTATTCTAATGTCTTGTTTTTTATTTGGTTTTATAACTCTGCAACATTGTTCTTTTGTAGTTTATTAGTTATGAGTTATGATTTATGTTTTTTTTTCATTGTGAGGTTGATGAAAAATAGTAACACTCAGTAATTTTTAAAGTACTACATCATATATATATATATATATATATATATACACACACACACTATTCGCGGTGTCCCCGCCGTGTCCATGTCCTAATCTTTTTGGATTTGCCGTGTGGCCGTGTCTGTGCTTCTTAGGTTTTATGTGATTGTGTGGATAATATTGATCCATAAACTCAAACTAATTAACTAAAAATAAAACAAGAATTAAAGGTAATTCTTTTTTTTTATTTTTAAGAATTAAAGGTAATTTAAAAGTTAGTTAATCTTAAAATAATATCCACAAAACCTTTTTCACCCTCCAAGTCTAATTCGCCATGACATATCAAAACCTTGAGTAACAATCCACAGATTTCTTAGGAATGAATACTGAAAAGGCAAATATATATACGCATATCTATGTGTGTGTGTATTTATAAAAGGCCACTATCTGGGGCTGGCCCCGCCTACATTAAGTGCTTGGAGTAGAGGTGGCAATTTATACCGCCCAGTGGGTGTTCAACCCGTCCCACCCCTAATAGACCGGGTATGGTAAGGTTTTAAATGGTATAGGGATTAGGGAATGCTATGGGAAAACAAAACTAAACCCGATCCGGGTTCAGTGCGGGGCGGTTTGATGGCATTCAGTTCCAACCTGACCCATTTAAAAGGAAAGTGGTATATATCCTTATTTTGTTTTCCTATTCCGCAAATACCCTTACCTATATACATATACATGTATATACATTATTCTCTTTCATTAGGGTTCCTAGTAGCTTTCTCACTCAACGCCCACGTCCCTCCCTCCACCTGTTACAGCCATCTGTTATAGTACTCTGTTCTTCAACTCCATTCATCTCTCTCTCGTCCCCATGTTGCGATTATGCTGTTCGTTCTCCAACACTTCTGCCATCCGCGCACTGTCCATAATCTCTAAAGATTTGAGTCTCAAAGACGGAGACAATCTCTCCTCTCCAAAGAGAGGGTCTCAATGACTTGTTATGTTTTTTAATTCAAATTTGTTTCACATAGATAACTCTGCAGAAGATTAAGAGGGTATGCTTTGATTACCACTATTAGAGTGTTTCTGTTAAATAATTTGTAATCTAATTGAGATGCAAATGAGGGGTTCCTTCTTCAATCATATCGAATCCACTATTATTGTATTCATTAAATCAGATATCTTAAAAAATGTAATATTCTTTCTTTCCTTTTCCTCCGTGATTTTGTATGTTTAGTCTTGCTAACAGGTGCAACGGAGCGGAAGCACGTTGTGAACTGTATTTTTGCAGCGGTTTGGAGTACAAACCTGTCTGGGGTTTGGAACGGGGTAAGGGACAAAGCATAATAAACGGGGCGGGGTAGGGTTTGGGGAAATCCGCCCCAGCCCACCACCCCTACATTGCCATTCCTAGCTAGGAGGGTACACCGGGAAAAGAACTAGCATTAACCATTATTTTGCACAAAGAGACATCTCCAAGACTAAAAACTGTTTTCGGCCTTCACCGTTGTATCAAGCAACAGCCCCTTCGAAAATTTTCTTTTATGAACTATATGTTACAGCAAAAAACATATTCCCATAAAGAGGCATAATTGTTCACCAATTAAGACCCAACCTGTCTTTCATAGTTGGATTGAGAAGCACGCCACTTCCGATGCTCCATCTCCAAATCTTCTTTCAAAGAAGAAAATTGAATTTCCATTGCCGCAATTTGGGATCTACACATGAAAATATTATATAATCAAAGAGTAAATTCAAGATCGGATAAAAGTATAGTACTCAAGAGAAGAAAAAACTCACGTCTTAACAGAACTTTCTTCCTTTAGACTGGAAATTTCAGATAAAGCAGAAGCAACGGCTTCTTCTTTACCAGCGGCAGCAGATACTGCTTCTTTGGACTTTAAAATACAGTCGCTTTCAAGTTCATTAACATGGTTTCGAAGTGATACAATTTCTGCTTCAAGCGATTTCTTCAGCTTATCCGCCTAGTTGACATTTGTAACAAATGAAACTTGCAACCAAAATATGGAAAAACCCAGTTTAAAGTAGATGCCGTGGCATACAAAATACCTCCATTTTAAAGTTTTCATGAGCAAGCTCCATCTGTTTCAGTGCAGCTTCATTCACCTCTGCTATGCTCTTATACTGCAGGGAAGAGACCCTTGAGCAAGCAAGCTCCACAAGATATCGATATAATAATTTGCATACAAAGTAAATACCTGTTGCATGTGATCCTTGTTAACTTGTATGTCCTCTCTCAATTTTTCAATTTCTTCCTTTGTAGTCTGCAACTCTGCAATAGCCTATAGCAAGTTGTGGTAGTCAGCCAGAAATGTACATAAAAGTATTAAAGAGTTCAACATTATCTACTATCAGTCAAGATAGAATTTCCTTACAAAAAGGGTAGCACGACTGTTGAAAAACAAAAAACAAGTCCAATCCACTTCTACCAGGAATAAGTTTATATGGTGACAAAGTTGGAATATGGAGCGAGTCTGAGACAATGTCACTTTAAACATCAACTGAATAAAAATCTCTTCTTTCATAGGAGTGCTTTACCAATGCTTAATGTTAGCACACATCGTTGAATAGTAAGTCCATAGTCATCTTACCCAGAATTTTCACCCACATTAAATTCATCTCAATCAGTTCCTCAATAGAGAATTCTTATCCAACTTGTAAACATATTACTTGCTCCATTCCACCATTCCAACGTTAATCAAGAAAAGGCTACACAAGCATCAATGACGCTTTTTTGAGGGAAAGGAGTACTAGAATATCATTTCCTCTCTCATAAAGATAGGAGCTACGGTTAATAAAGAATCTGATTTTCTTTAACCAACCATTTTCAGGAAGTGGTCAAAAGGGTATGCAATGCTAGAGCAATAGCCTTCGGATGTGAATGCTGAAAAACATGTACAATAATAAGGTCAACTAGCAATGAAAGAGTTAGTATATCTTATGGCAAGGTCTCCTAAAAAGCAAAAGGAAAGGGTATGATGGGATCTCAAACCAAATTAGATTTTGGTAATCACAAGTGTGCAGGTTTTGACATTAATGGTGTGTAATGGTCCTTTGAAGCATTTGTACCAGTTCTGCAAGATATAGCAAACAGATAAGGAGGCTCTAGTTGAATGTAATATCATGCAAGGGAGATTTCGGATCATCACTTATCAGGGTTATGCAGGACTGAGTGTTCGAATCGATGAAGAGCATTCTTGGATTGCTATATTGAGCAGATGACGTAGGGGAGGGACACTATCTAGGAGGATGGAAACGACAACCGAAAGGATTGTGATTTGATCCTTTACACCGTGTTGAAGCAGGAAAATTTTTTATCACCAGGGGAATCAAGCACAAGAGTTCCTACCAAGGTAATTTTCTCAGGGTGGACTATTGTGCAAGCAGAGATCCTCACATTGAAAATTAAATTCAGAGGCATAAGATGATTATTAATTGGTGATGAATGTGAGAGAAATACAGAATAATTCATTTTTTATGCTCACAACCAACTTCCACCTCTTGTTTTTGGAGTTCATTTAATTAGGACACGGTGGTCTGCCTCTAACGCCTACACCAGCTGGACAACAAAATTGATTTTTGTTATAAATTACAGGATAAGAAGAAATGTAGAACTGAACTTCCATGAATTAAAACAAATTATAATTGATTATAATTCCTTCTTTTTTTTTATAAGTAAAAGTGTATTAGAAAGTGTTCAAAAGAGGAACGCATCCCAACAGCTATATTCAAATACCAAAACCAAAAAAGGAGTCTTATGGACCCAAAGAACCCAAAAAGTCCACGATTTCATCTAAAGATAAACAATTTCTCCCCATCCTCCAACCAAAAAGAGAACTAACAATAGAAAACTTCAATTCTCCAACGGAGGATTCCTCTCCATCAAAAGATCTTATATTCAACTCTTTCCAAAGACTCCACCAAACACAAAGGGAGGTCGCCCTCCAAGAGTCATGAGCATGAACCCCCACCATGTGGCCCCTCCAAATATAAATCAAATCCCTTGAAGTCCTCCGGGGCATAACCCATTGGACGCCAAACACACCAAAAATAAGACTCCAGCAGTCATGAGCCACGAGGCAATGCAAAATAAGGTGATCCGCAGACTATCCATCATTCTTACACAGACAACACCAGTTGACCATGATTTGTCTTCTCTTTCTCAAATTGTCCAGAGTCAAAATCTTGCCCAATCCGAACAAAAAAAGCCACCCTAAGAGGAGCCTTCGAATGCCAAACCATTTTCCACGTGAAATTGGAACCGTGAAACTCGGAGAGGCATAGAAAAAAGGAACGGACCTGAAAAGTTCCCTATGGAGAAGGCAACCAAGTCAAGGAATCCAATCCAGAGTATAGGTCCAACAAGCTAGTCACGTCGTCCAACTCCCAATCCTGAAAGGATCGCTGGTATCGCACACCCAAGAAAACCTACCGCTACTGAGTCGATATCAGTCAACTATCAAAGCATGTCTATCAACAACAATCCTCTCGGGAACAAACAAGACAACGGGCGATCCTCGCACCAAGTATCCTTCCAAAATCGGACGTTCCTTCCCTCCCGAACTCTAAATCTAATATACTTAGAGAACTCATCTCAACCCTTCCGAATGAATTTCCACACCCCCACGCTGACAACAAATCTAACCGGCCTAGATGGCCATCCCCTCTCTCCACCCCAAAGCAACACGAAATAACCCTCCTCCATAACTTATGCCTTTCGCTACCAAATCTCCATAACCACTTACCTAGGAGCGCTATGTTGAAAGGGGCTAACCTCCTAATCCTAACACCGCCCAACTAAAAAGGCCTGCAAACATGCTCCTACTGGACAAGATGAAAATTAAACTCCTCCCAACGGCCGCCCCAAAGGAAGTTCCGTTGAAGAATCTCAAGTCTTCCAACAATAGAGAAAGGGATCTGGAAAAGCGAAAGAAAATAAGTTAGAAGACTAGACAATATACTCTTCACCAAAGTAACTTTCCCGCCCTTCGAAAGATATTGTTTTTTCCACCTAGCCAACCTACTCTCGAAACGCTTTATAACCAAGTCCCAGCTTCCCACCCTCTTTGACAAATCACCCAACGGCAAGCCCAAATAAGAAATAGGGAAGGAGCTCGTCCCACACCCTAAGACCGCCGCAAGAGAAGCCACCTCCTGAACCTCCCCGACAGGAACAAGCACATTCTTACCCACGTTAACTTTCAAACATGAAACTGCCCAAAAGCAAACCAGATCACATCTCAAATACCTCAGTTGGGACACATCTACCTCACAAAAAACCAGAGTGTCATCCGCAAAAAGCAAGTGAGAGATCTCCATCCGCTAAACTGAATCTGAACCCATCCTGAAACCCTGATAAATCCCAAATCCACAGCCCTTCTCGTCAACCAACTAAGAGTCTCCATAACAATAATGAACAAGAAGGGGGAGAGGGGATCCCCTTGCCTCAAACCACAAGAACAGCCAAAAAAACCCGGATGAAGACCAATTCACCAACACAGAAAATCTGACAGAAGAAACGCACACCTCGATCCATCTCCTCCATCCCGAAACCTATCCTCTCTAGCAAATAAAACAAGAAATTACAACTAACATGATCATAGGCTTTCTCAATATCGAGCTTACACAAAACTCCAGGAACAGCGTTACTAAGCCTATAATCCACACATTCACTGGCAATGAGAGCGGAATCCAGGATATGTCTACCCCAATGAACGCATTTTGATATTCAGAAATGACACCGTCCAGAACCTCCCTCAATCTCAACGCAAAGATGTTAGCGATAAGCTTATAGATACACCCAAGCAGACTTATTGGTCTAAAATCCTTAACGTCATAAGCACCACCCTTCTTAAGAAGTAGGGCAATGAAAGATGCATTCAGCGACTTTTCGAACCTCCCATTAGAATGGAACTCATGATAAGTGTCTATCACCTCCTGTCTCACCACCTCCCAGCTTTCCAATAAAAACCTCATTGTCAAACCATCCGCCTTCGGAGCTTTGTCACCATTACAGCTCTTCAAAGCCTTCAAAACCTACTCCACTGAAAAGGGACTCTCTAACCCATCCCCATCCACAGCTGAAATAGAGTCAAAATAAAGGCCATCGAGCCGTGGCCTCCAACATAAAGGCTTAGAGTAGAGCCTCTGGTAGAAAGAAACAATCCCCCTACGCACCTTCCCCTCCGTACTCAACACCGTTCCGTCTACCCGAATACGCCCAATACGATTACCCCTCCTATGGGCATTAAAAGTTCTATGAAAAAAATATGAATTACGGTCTCCCTCTTTGAGCCATAAAGCCCGAGATTTCCGTCGCAACGAAATTTCCTCCATAACAACAATCTCTACCTGACAAGTTGCTCTCCTATCACGTTGAGACTCAACACCACCACCCACCCCTTCCAATCTATCAATCTCAGCAATATCAGCAAGAGCCCTATTTTTTCTTCACTCTAGATTACCAAACACCTCCTTGTTCCATCTTTTGAGTTTGTTTTCCAGGAATCGAAGCTTTCCAGTCAAAATAAAACTCGGTGTTCCCACCACCGTATCCTCCTCCCACCAACCCATCCCTATCCACAGCTGAAATAGAGTCAAAATGAAGGCCATGGAGCCGTGGCCTCCAACGTAATCGCTTTGAGTAGAGCCTCCGGTAGAAAGAAACAATCCCCCTACGCACCTTCCCCTCCGTACTGTCCACACAAATCCACCCAATATGATTACCCCTCTATGGGCATTAGAAGTTATATGAAAAAAATTTGTATTACGGTCTCCCTCTTTGAGCCATAAAGCCCAAGATTTCCGTCGCCACGAAATTTCCTCCATAACAGCAATCTTTACAATCTCTGCCTGACAAGCTGCTTTCCTATCACGTTGAGACTCAACAACACCACCCACCCCTTCATCAATCTCAGCAATAACGGCAAGAGCCTTATTCTTCCTCCACTCTAGATTACCAAACACCTCCTTGTTCCATCTTTTGAGTTTGTTTTCCAGGAGTCAAAGCTTTCCAGTCAAAATAAAACTCGACGTTCCCACCACCGTATCCTCCTCCCACCAACCCATCCCTATCCACAGCTGAAATAGAGTCAAAATGAGGCTTAGAGTAGAGCCTCTGGTAGAAAGAAACAATCCCCCTAAGCACCTTCCCCTCTGTACTCAACACCGTTCTGTCCACACAAATCCATCCAATATGATTACACCTCCTATGGGCATTAGAAGTTCTATGAAAAAAAATTGTATTACAGTCTCCCTCTTTGAGCCATAAAGCCCGAGATTTCCGTCACCACGAAATTTCCTCCATAACAGCAATCTCTACAATCTCTACCTGACAAGCTGCTCTCCTATCACATTGAGACTCAACAACAACACCCACCCCTTCATCAATCTTAGCAATATCAGCAAGAGCCTTATTCTTCCTCCAATCTAGATTACTAAACACCTCCTTGGTCCATCTTTTGAGTTTGTTTTCCAGGAGTCTAAGCTTTCCAGTCAAAGCTTTCCTCCCCCCACCAAGATTGCACTTTCCCCTGAAAATCAACCCCTCTAAGCCACATGTTCTAAAATCTGAAAGAGTGTCTTAATCCTCTATAATCCAAAACCAAAGGAATGTGGTCATAAGTCACCCTAGCCAAAACAGCATGAACTGTGTCCGGAAACTTCTCCTCCCACTCCCCAGAAATCAAGAATCTATCCAGGCAGGAAAGGGTGGACACCTCCCTACCACTGGAACATGTAAAAGCAGCTCCCTCCAATGGAAGTTCGATAAGATCATGTCCATCAATAAACTCCGAAAATTGCATCATAGCCAAAGTCCATTGACCACCTGTAGATCTCTCCAACGGAGACCTAACCACGTTGAAATCCCCAGTCACACACCATGGAAGAGACCAAAACTCCTTCACCACACTAATCTCCTTCCACAGCGCAAGCCTCTCACAATCATCCACCGGCCCATAAATGTCAGATAAAGCCCAAGAAAAACCATCCACCTCCATCACAAAAGCACAAGATAGAGAGAATCGCTCTCTCCAAATATCCACCCTTGACATCCATCTCCTATCCCACATGAGAAGAATGCTTCCAAATGACCCTGAAGAGTCCAAAACCTCCCATTCAATGACCCTACTCCCCCAAAGGCTCTTAACCACTCTACCAGTCATCGAATCAATTTCTTTAAGGCACACCAAATGAACCCCCCATTTTCTCACTACCAACTTCACCACTTTCCCCTTGCTCGGGTCATTGATACCGCAGACATTCCAAGATAAAATTCTTAGCTTCTTGAGGAAACAAGAACACTCACCTCTCCCTCACCCCTCCCTACCCCCCTAGCACTACCCCTTCCTGCTCCACCTTATCTTGCTTTCATAGTTCACATCTCAACAAAGGTTTCTCAGCTCCCTATCCCCTTTCCCAAGAGGAAGGATTCTTTTTCCTTCTACTCTCCCTTCTAGAGATCTTTTTCATCTCCCCTTCTCTCCCCCTCCACCGTCGCATGAAGAATCAACAAAGCCCTGTCCCGGTTGCCCTTGCAAGAGACACCCAACAGTTCACTAGTGACCCCGATATTTGGCGACCCATTCCTTGCCAATATCAACACAATCCTGCCTTGCAACATCACCGTCCATAACCTTCAGTCTCATGACTACGATCAACCATCCCCAGATTTGGGTGACCCTCCTCCAGTGGATCATGTCACCACAATCCTGCCAATGGATCATGTCAAGAGACCTGCCCTTCTCAACCCTGATCCCACCTTCATCACCTCCCTTGGACTTCTCCACCTCAACACAGGACATCCAGTCAACTACACTGTCCACCACACCTTCCCGTACATCAAGGAAAGTATCCGGAGCATTAGTGAGCAATTCATAAGACAAATGCGAGACGGTCGTTTCCTTCTTTTTGACACCACAGGTGGCCTCAAACCTTCACTTTTGGCACAGGACTCGGAAAACGGCACAAGGGTAGGAGCGATTTATTCTGTTAATGAAATTCTGAAGGCCCACCACCTCTCCTCCACGATGATGGACTCCGAGATCTTGCCGCCTTCAACCACAGTAATAACAATCCTCTCTGTGTCGCTCATTTCATAAGCCTCAACATCCCAAAATCCTCCACATAAATCCCCAATTGCAACAAACAGCTTCTGACACCAAAAATGCAGAGGAAGACCGTACACGATGACTCGCCGGTGATTAGTCTTCTTTCTCAACCCAAAACACCTAACCCTATAACACTATAGGTCGATGAACGGCTACGCGTCGCCCCATGTTTTCTTTCCCCTATTTAGCACCTTTTGTGCCTTCTTAATCGACAAGAATCGAAACAGCAAAAGACCATCGGCCAGAGAAGAAACCCTAACCCCACACGAGATCCTCCATCTCTTCGTAGCCTAATCTTTAATCTCCTCAAAAGACCCCACATCACTGTCAAATCTCCCAACAAGGTAAGACTTAAGCATCAATTCGCGAGTAGAAGTGATGTAATTGTCCACCCTAAAATATGCCCTCTGATTGAAGATTCACATTCCACATCTCCTTGTAGATCCAGGAGGGAGGCTTGTGACCTCCAAAAACGACGACAACTGGCCATCGAGCGCTCTCATGAAAGCATCCAGATGAGAAAAGGGAAACAAGAAATGAAAAAATCACAGAAGATTAGAGGAACTCAAGAGAGAGGAGAGGAAAACAAAGAAAACATAACAAAGGATTTCACCAGAATGGACGACTTCGGTGACTAATCGGAGTAGTAGACTCAGACCGCATCTTTGTTACGAAGCTCCCTATTGATTATAATTCTTACCCAAAAAGGCTTAATAATCAATTCTATTTCTCACTTCCAGAGTTCCAGACCTTAAATCCAAGAAAATTCTGCTAAAAGATTCTACATCTGAGTAATTATAATTGCCAAAATCTTTCACAAGCCATAAGCACATGGATACAAATTAAATGTGAATCTATAAAAGTACAGATAGAGGAATTAAGAACTAAGCATGATTCTGATTACTGACCTTATTAGTTGGGAAAGACGAAGTACCACATTCACCATCATTATTTGAGATCTGCGTTAGAAAGTCAAGTATCAAAAGCAGAAATAAAATGAGTCACGGAAAGAGAGAGAGAGAGAGAGAGAGAGAGAGAGATAAATCGGAAGAGAAGAGGCGTTCACAACCATTCACATGTAAGCTGAAAATAATATTTAAAATATTTTTACAAAACATAACAAATCTCAAACAAGATTTTCTTATAAAGTACAACTTTACCATTTTTTTTGCTCAAACACATTCATTATTGGCTAAGCCATCAACATAACTCAATTGGAGCACAACGTACTAATGGGCATTGTCAAAGACAAATTCTGGATGAGCTCACCATAACTTCCATTCGTAGAGGACATCCAGACACAAACCAAGTATATTGTCTTTTAGATCCACCATGGTCAATTTATTATCACACTTAACCCAAGTGTGACAGCTAGCCAAGCAGGGGAAATCTCTAGGTAGTGGTACTAGAGACCTGATCATATTGGACAGACTGGGTTTGCACGTAAAAAGGAAGGCTATCACTGTTGGGATAGCCCAGCCATTTGAAGAGAAAATAGAAATGGAATAAGTAGAAGGTTTTACCACTAATCTCATGCTTGTACTAATACAACTTAAAAATTACCCAATCATAATAAAGACTGAATGCATCAAGGAACATTCAATTGCACAAATGACAAGTAGAGTTTTTACAACCACATAAACAATAGAGAGACATGTTAAAGCAAACAGTTCTCACACAGTGCATAGATTGCTCAAATGATGGCTTCAAGATCCCCTTCAGAAGAAAATTTTAAGAAACATCACCAAAAATAAAAAAGAATCCAAGGGCTCTGAAGTAAGTAGGAAGTGGCAGAAGATACCACTCAAGCAAAAAGCTGCCAATTAGTAACATCACTACCAAATTTCAGAATGGGAACTTATCAAACTAGAAATACCTTAATTTCCGAAGATTTAATCTTTTTCTCCAGATCAGAAAATCGGGCCTGCAATGCAATGATTATATTAGAGCTAGTCTTTATAAATGATTTAAGCAAGGACTGGATTGACAATAATACAATATGAAAACCATTAAAAACACTAATGGAAGACAATAGATTTGAAAGCAGAAACCTCAGCAACAGCAGCCCTAGACTCAGCAGCAGCAAATGAATGCAATGCATTAGCTAACTCTTTTCCCATTTCTTCAACTTGTCTCATGGCATTTTTCATAGTATTTTCCCGGTCAAGTGAGAGACTTCGAACGTTATCACGCTGTTCTTGAAGCTCTTTCTTAGCCTCAACCCATTCTCTCTGCATAAATGTCAGATTTCACTATCATCAACCGAACACAAATTCTATTAACTTGTACAATGTTAAATCTCAATATCATCAATTTGAAACAAATTATGTTAAATTTACAGAAGAAAAAGACCCAGAATACGTCAAAACTCTAGATAGAAATAGAATACTTGGAGAAACATCCAAGTGCATTATAAAATTTCCAAGAAAACACACCTCAATCTGTTTAATATACTCCTCTTGCTTTCTCTTCTCTGCACCTCTGGCCTCCTACAGTTCCCATGAGGAAGAAATATAAAATGCCACGATATTACTCTTTGTGGGAATCTAAATTCAATTACCAAAAACTAGATACATGACAAACCAAACAGAAGCCAAAAGGCAACAACATGACATGATGGGCTGTGCAATTACAAAGAGATAGTACATGAAATGAATTTAAAGAACTAAACTACCTCACGAACTTCCTCAGCACTCTGAATGGTGTCCAAACTAGCCTGCATAAATTATACACACAAGTGAAAATCAAAGTTGAAATATTATCGCTCACCAACCCACAATAAATTGAAAGGAAAAGGACCTGCAAACGATGAACCCTCTCCGACAAACTACGGACTTCATCAAAAGCTCTCTTTTCAGAATTTGACAACATTTCTTTTTCATGCTTCAAAACAGACACCTGTGGAGAAATTTGGGAATTAACGAGTATGGTCAAGGCAAATTGTTTGCAACAGTTAGAACTGAAGTAATTCTCACCTCCATAGTTAACTTTCTTGAAAGCTCCTCAGCACGATGCATGGAATCGGAACCTTCACGCAGCTTTCGTTGGTAATCCACGATTAACTGCGAGAACTCGACATTTCTGGCTATAACACCATTGGTTTCCTCTCTCTGACATAATATTCAGAGTAAACAATAAGAAAACACATGTAAATACAGATGTATTTTCTGTTATGACATACAGAGTGGATATAAAGAGAAGAAGAGGGAAAGATGGTGTAGAGAAAATATATTGAATGTTAAGTTCACCTGATGTTCAAATTCTTTCATAAATCTTTCAAGTTTCTCATTTGCGAAATTTGCCTCAATAGATAATTTGTCCCGCTCTGATCTCAGTGATATTATCTCGCTCCTGACCCAAAAACAGCAAAGGTATACAGTTGGATACAGTATCACACTGAAAGCAACTAAGAAGATAAAATATATATATATATATATATATATATATATATATATATATATATATATATAATAAAATAAAAAAAAGCACACACGTGCGCGCATAATTTTTATTATTATGATCTAGGAAGCACGGGCACTACTCTAGGGGATGCATGGCGGGGAGTCGGGAGTATAAAGTTCTCTTTATTCTGGTTGGACACGGTAGGGATATGGCAATGACACAGTATCGACGTGGCAGGGATACGGCAATGACAGATAATCATTTTTTCATATATATATAAAATATGTTATATTATTATTTTATTGATGTATTATTATTTTATTGATGTATCCCGGCAGTACTCATATTGTATCGTACTCATGTCCCTGGTCCATATCTGTGCTCCACAGATTATGATTGCGGAGATGATAAAGACAGCCCAACGATCTTTAACAGAAGCAAATAAAAATCAACAGAAAATACGCCTTCCCAAAGAGAAAAATGCAACACCAATATTATCTTTATTATCTGTTCATACATATTCAGATCGATTAAATTGCTCCAATTATTCCAATATTATTGCACATCAACGCCACTATTGGAGACTTGAAAAGAAATTTGGGGCATTTTCCTGGTTCAGTCTCAAAGAAGTTCTTAATAGGTTCTTGGACAAAACTGTAATAACATCCAACCCCACTTTCAAGCGAGACATGGTGATATGCTACTGCTACTAACAGATCTTAAAAAAATAAAATGCAATAACACAAAAAATCATTGCAAAAAAGAAAGTTGATAAACTTGAAATGATACATGTGGAGATCTAAATGATGTACATCCCACAAGAAAGGCATGAAGAAAGAACAGCTAAAAATACACAAAATGAACATTCCCAGAGAACTCATCAGCTCTCAAGCACTGAAATGCACTTGCAAAACACGAACTAATAAGTAAAGGGACGAAGAGGAGGAGGGGGACGGAGGGGAAAGATGGAGAAAGGAAGAAACATATCAAGTTATCAACTATACCTTTTCTTGGACAAATCCTCTTCAAGACATCTCATACGCTCCTGAGACTTTTCTTGGGAATTTTTTGTAGCTTCCTGTAATTTGTTATTCACAATAATAAAGTTAGAAGCACCAAAGTTACAATACCATAGACACGACCTTCAAAAAAAAAAAACTGTTAACTGTACCTGAGAACCTTCGAGTAGAAGCAAGAAGTCTTTCCTTCCATCTTCTGCAAACCAAGTAACCACCCATCACAAAATGTACCACACAAAATGATGTGTTGGAATGGGCGACATATTAGATAAAATATAGCCAACCAAAAATAGAAACAGCCACTACAAAAGAAACCATGTCTCAGCACAAAATCTGATTTATTATGCAACCAAGCATTATAGAAAGAGGGAAAGGTTACACGTATAAGAAATATAAAACTTTTCCAAGGCCATCGACCCGTCATAATTAACAAAAGTCTGGGACCAATATACTTTGCATGGATGCTTTTCATTGTGCATTCATCTCAAGAAATCCAATGAACACGACAACATACCTTCAACTCAGATGAGAAACAACAACATTTATCTGAGGCACAGAACAAAAACATAAAATACTGACCAACCACAAGAATTGATGTAGCCAATAAAAAATAAGGGACTAAATCTACTGGTTCAGTAACGAAAAATTGATTATGGCAATCCTCCTACAGAATTGAAAAGGTAGAAAGTATGCCACAAAAATATTGTGTTTTCACACGTCCTATCAATTGGTATCAGACGATATTGATTAAACTTTCAATTTCAGTCTTTTTGCCAGGCCATATTTATTTAAACATAAAAAAGGCTAGCCTAGTGCACAAGGCTCCCGCCATTGCGATGTCTGGGAAGGATCAGATGTATGTAGGCCTTACCTCCGCATGCAGGGAGGATGTTTCCTTGTTTCGAGCTTGTGACCTCTAAGTTACAATGGAACAACACTACTGTTGTGCCAAGGCCCATCCTCACACACACACACACACACATATATATATATCTCAGAGAAAATATACATGTTATGAAAAACCCAGCGACCCAAGAACACAATCAAGAATCACGATAGAAAAGTAAACATGCCGCACACAAAGACTATGCGAAAATCAGGAGATTACAAGTTTCAGCACCCATACCCTAGCTCTCACTCTTACTCTCTCTCATTCCTGCAAATTTCAGTGTTCACTCGTTATCCTACTCCAAAGCCTAAATGCCCTTATGTACCGGGCTCCAAGAGAGTTCTAAACAAGGTCCAAGACCCGCAACCAAAAAACGAATCAAAAAATTTACCATTTTTGGTTCAAACCTGGGTCACAACGTGACCCGTTCCGGAACAAAATTCGGGCCACAACATCACAATATATATATATATGTGTGTGTGTGCTAGAGATGAGATACACATCATTGTTAAGTTTTCAATATACATCCAAAGATCAACTCAAGCTTTTAAGATGTGGGCATGTGTTGCTACATAGTTTTCACTTCATGTACCTTGCACATGTTTAGTAAGACGACCACTTTTTTTAGGGGCTAGGGGATGAAAGCATAAAATTTAAAATAAAATAAAATAAAAGAGGAGGAAATTTTTTAGGAACCAAACAATACAACCTCAATAACAAGATGTGGTAAAAAACAAGAAAAACTAAATCAATGAAACCCCAAGGTGTTGGCCTACTTGGAAAAGACTTGGGCCCTGGTGTCTCATGAAGCATCAGGTCTCAAGATTGATTCCTGCTAGGTGCAAACAATTCCTTTTTTTTTTTTTGGGTGGGTGGAAAAAAAATAAAACATTGACACTGACAAACATAAGAAAAAACACAAAAAGAACCTGGAGCTGCTTCAGCAGAACGAGGATGAAGCATGTGAAGTTTGTGTTCCTCTTCATACAGCCTTTTGTACATTGCAACCTATCCAAAGGAATTGAAGAGAACATAAGAAGGAAAATACTAACAACATATGATATTAGAAATAATAAAATACAAAACCATTCTGTGATGTGCTTCTGAGCGCTTAAGGAATGCTTACAGAGGTGTGAAGAGATTCAATCATCCGTGCTTGCTCTTCTGCTCTCGCTAATATTGCATTAACTTTACAAGCAGCCTCATCAGTATGTTTCTGTATCTCCGTCTCAAACTTTTCCTGACATTCATAGTTGCAACCACAAGCTAAATGTAAAACAAGTCTTCAAACGTAAAGCACTACCCCTGACGAAAAATAAACAAAAACAACAGGAACAAAAAAATTCTTTTTCAAACCTTCAACTCCGATTCCCTGTTCTCTATCTGGTCAGAAAGGCAGCGCACAAGACTTCGGAGCTGGGCATTCTGCTCAACTAACCCATTTATATCCTTAAAAGTCAACTGTTGCAATTTAAATCCAAAAGAAACATCAACAATCAACATTAACAATTGTGCAGAAAAAAGGCTAGGGATATAACAGATGAAGAAAAATAAGAATTCTTACATCAGAAATTACTTTTTCAGCATCAGAATCAGTATTTATCTCAACAGCAAGAACGGCTGTAACGTCATCAGCATAACCCTGACCCACAGATCCACAACGAAGTTGTATATCACGGCATTCCTTCAGCAGTACTGTCACCTGAAATATTTATTAATTAATTCAGGAGGAAACTGCAGGTTAACATTCATATAACCGACATTCAAAAGATGGGCAACCAATTTCAGGTCAACCCAACCTAATGACTTTTTTTAGTAGCATATATCTAATACAAGCAGAGTAGATGTAAAACTATAACTCTTTAGTCTGCAGTGCACTTTGAAGATCATAACTGAATAAACAATAACAGTAATTAACCTGAATGCAAGACAATCTAATAATACACATATACTAGAGCATGAACAGTCTTGGAACCAAAAGAACTGATAAAACAAATTCTTTAGGGAACTAAATCGTCATAAGGTTTTATGAAACTCCCAGGTTACCTGCTTCTGGAGATCAATAATCTCTTTCTGTGCTACAGTGTATTCACGTTCATGCCTCTTCAAGTCAACCTGAAACACATGCATAAATAACCGACCAAAGGATGAATAATAAAATCCTCAACGATGATCAAACCATCACAAACCTTTAAGTCCTGTATTGTTCTCTCCAAAGTAGCCTGTTCAGAAAGAGAATGCTGCAGCTTTTGGTTGACAAGAGAGTATGCTTCAACCAATCTCTCATGTTCCGCTGCATAAGCAACAGATGCCACAGATTCCTTAAAAATGATCCGAGGAGAACAAAATCAAATGAACACTTAACGGCAAACTCTTTCTTTTTGTCTTTTTTTTTTTATTTCCACAAATGTTGCTTTTAACTAAAAAAATAATGAAATTGTAAGTTTTGCAAACAGAATCCTCTTAGGACTGACCATCTACAACTTAACAAACTGTGTGATAAGAAACCTTGTATGGTCAACAATTGTTCATCAAGTAAACTTCTACTGGTTCTGTCATGTGCAACTAGCATATCCAAATGGATCTGGTGTCTAACAACACAAATGCATTAAACTTATCCTAAAAATATATCCTCTTTGGAAAACAAAACTGTTTAAGAACCTGCTGCAACAGCCGATTGGCTAAAGAACAGATGGTGGCAGATTTGTTACGACAGTTCAACAAGAAGCTCAAAGCTGTCTATCGTCAAGTTAGATGTTTGCTAGGTTCTATGCCTTTCGGACCAAAGATCCCCATGTTAAATAAGGGTTTTCCCCCAGAGATATCTGATCAAACAAGAAGAGGACCATCAAATATTTTTGGGGGGGAAAAAAAGAACTTCAAAATATTTTACAAGAAAGGTATTTTCTGGTTATTGACCATAACAAACATGTTGTTGAAAAACAAAACAGGTTAAATTCATACCAAAGAAATCTCTACGACTATGATATGCGCATTAAAGGCTGTTCTCTTAGCATCTCATTATTTTGGCAGCTCGGATGTCAAGTCAAAAGGCCCAAACCATTGCTTAGACATTTCATAACAGTTGAATTTATCTAGCTCGTAAATAAATATCAATATTCTCATCAGACAAGTTAATTAAATTCAAAAATTACCAAAAAATAGATAGAATAATCAAAATCTACTCTCTCCAATCTTGGCACTAGATACAGCAAAAATACATGTCACTTGTGTACAACCAAACACTCATTTATGCCAAACCAATTAGATGACTGAGAATTGGATTTTAATAAAGTAAAAGTGTATCCATCATGAATCCGATAACTAGCACATACCTCGCTCATCCAAAATGACTCCAGCTTTCTCCTCTATCTCATATAAGACCTAGGAAATAATATTAGAAAAATATAAGACATTATCATGAAGGAAGAAAAACATTCAAAGATATAACAGTTTGTTTTGTTGTACCAAAAAATAAAACTAAAAAAACCGTTTACAAGAATGGAAAAGATACTAAATACTAATCAAAAAAAAAAAAGAATGGAAAAGATACTAAAAGCTAAACTTCAAAATAAACAAAAAGAGGACCGAAAACATAAAACTCTATAGCCAAGAAGAAATCCATCAAACAAATTGACACAATTAACCAAACATGGGACATCAAAATCATCACAATTACATTTTAAACAATGTTCAACAAAAAACTAAAATTTTCCATAACTAATATCAAACACCAAATTACTTTTCAAGAATATCAATGTTAAGACACAAACATTTGAAGACCCATTGGAAAATCAACTTACGTCCCAATCTGCGAGCATCAACAAAACTTTCTTATAATTAAATAGAATGCCATATAATTGTAAATATGTTTATAACTCAACCCATTCCACAGTATGTGCACCATGAAACCAAGTTTTAAAAGGAAAACCCCAGTGTACAGTACTTTCCAGATCTTTTTCCAAACTCAACATCAGATCTAAGCCCATATGCCTGGAAGGGTCTACCTGAAGGCCTTAACGTCCAACACAAGCCACCTACTTATTTATGTACAGAGCCTTCCATTCCAAAACAATAAAATGACACTATCATACAGGAAACACAAATTAAAAAGAATGTCTACTTTCATTTTATCAGTGGGCTAGGTTATGGAAAGCATATATTTATAGAAAAAAGAATTATATGTAAAGGTAACTGTTCAGAGTACTGTCAAATTCCGAAACAATGATGTAAAAAAGGAGTCTGTAATAGTTGAGAATAATGTCTATAAGAGTCCATGTCAGTCAACTTGCCAAAGATTTTTCAGATACAGTGAAGATTGGTGACTAAAGATGCAACGGCATCAAAAAATCTCAATAGCTTGCTTCAGAACATCCAATCGCATTTATAGGAAGGTAATAAACGCATAGAATACATAGGGATTTAGGTTAGAAATGGATGAATAGCTTAGACTAGGTTCTGGACTTGATTCACTTGATTTAGTTTGATTCGAGACTTTATTAGATGGAATTTAAAAGAACATTTTTAGTGGTTTGGAATTGGAAATGTCCAACTGTCCATTATCCCCCAGCACATGCAGTTTTCGACCACGATACAAGCAACTGTACAAATGTTCACATTCACCTCCATATGTTGTCCAGAGGCCCGTGCAGCAGTACATAATTCACTTGGACAGTTACATGTACCGACACTTTCGGTAAACAGTTAATTTCCTGTTCCAAATCGAACTTCGAATTGTTTTAAACGGCCTAAACATTTGAAAAACTTATTCAAATTCGAAGAAAGGTGATGAAACAATCACTTACGAAGAAGGCGAAATAGTATGGGAAACAAGGTTGACCAAACAACGGCTTGGCTTCAATAAATATATATATATATAATAAATAAAACTGAGACATCGACGGCAACTAGGCTCATTGGTGGCAAATAGAAACCAGGCATCAAATTGAGGCAATCAGTTGGCATAAAACTGTGCTCTTAAACTTCTTCAACATAGTAAATTGGCTAGATCTTGACTAGGCCCAGTGGTTTTCCCACTAACAGAAATTGTGTTCCGACTTTTGCTCCTTATTTTTTTTCTCCTAAATGTTAAATGTATCATGATTTGGCAGTGAATGAATTAATTTATTTAAATAAGCTCATAAGTTTAAAAGCAATCAAAAAGGCTTAACGCCCTTTCATGATACATTTAACATTTAGGAGAAACAAGACCAGGAACAAACCTATCCAATTCCACACGACACAACTCAGGTATCTTATGCAGATGGGAATTAATTAAAGTAGCAAGGAGTTTAAGATAACAATTAGCTGCCCAAGGGGAAAATTCTTAAAGAAATTTTAAGATAACCTTTAGATTTTCAGATGCTTGAATAATGGCTTACAGTTCCAAAGATGTTGAAATTACAAAGGATTTGGTCAAAGGAACAGAACACAAAGTAGTTTATACAATTAACAAAATCTAAAGCAACAGGAGAAATAGCATGAGGAGAATCACATGCACATCATTGCAGCGTAACAAAAGACTCCAACTACATTCACTGTAGAAAAATCATAATTATTTATGTACATAATACCCGCTCTAATATCGCCTGGGATTGTTTTCTTCCCAATTGCTCATGTCGTAGTGCATCTACAGTCTCCTGGTACTTGGCGTACATCTTAGCTAGCTTAAATGGGGAAAAAAAAACTTTATTTATATATAATGAATAGAACAAGTCAAAAAAAATTGAATTAAAAACAAGAATCAAACCATAACAAAAATATAACTCACACTCCATCCATCCCGAAGAAGTGAAGCTGCTAATGCTGTTCCAGAAATGCCTAATGGGATATTGGGGACAAGCATGCGATTATCCTCGCCCATATCATTACGGTCAACTGAGTCCAACCATCTGCAACAAAAATATCAAGCATCAACATCAGCCATTGCAAATTTACCAAAATTTGATTCAATCATATAATAAGTAGCCATTGCAAACCCAAGCATCTATATACAATCACCAGATCCACATCATACTGAAATTGCTAGCAGATAGAGCATAAATTATTCATGGAGAATCAATCAAGCACAAAGCCAACAAGAAAAGCAAGTGAAGTCCGTGATATACAATATCACAAGGTAAATTTACCTGTCAGAACAGAAACAAAATAACTGATAGAATTTCAACCTATTATGCTCAAAACCATACATCTTCGACAAACACCAAACACCCCGCCTAGATAATGCATAAAGCATACGGACTATGGAAATAAGTAGAGAGATATATGCTTCTAGCAAAACAATAAACATCTTTTAAATAGAAAACCCAGAACATTACGATTAGATCGTAAAAAAAAAATTGACCATCACCAAGAACTTATCACCTATTCCCCCAATCTAAGATTATTTTGCTATTTATTAGAGACCATTCCATATTTCATCTAGCCTAAATCAAAGCTCTATTTGACAATCAAGTCTCGTGTCTCAATTATCAGATTTTTTATTAAAAAAATAAACGATGTCTCCCAATAACCATTGACCTTTGATTATTTTGATAAGGCGATGATGTCCATAGCGTAACTAAAGATATCAAGATAAAACTTCCATGCAACCAAAAATTCAGAGCACCACAACCTTCCGCCTAGTTGGTTTTTTTTTCCTTTTTGTTTTTTTTTTACAAGGTTCGTCGCGTAGAGGCTTTACCAACTCTAAACAAAGAAAAAGTACACATCACTAGTACAGATTACAGCAATGTACCAACACATTTCCAAACACAATTAAAAATCAACTCTTATTTTTACCAATCAACATTGTTTTACATTTATTATCATTTGTTAAAATTCTCCCACCTAGGGGTGGGACTTGGGCGGCTTGGGCAGGCTCAGGGGTTAGCTCATGCCAAACTACGAGTCCCCGCGCCAAGCCCAAGTCCCAAGGAACCCATTGCATCTCAACCCGTGTCATACAGCACAGATTTTTCGTGTTACTCGGGTCATCCCAAATTGCAATACCCTACTAATAAATAAACATTACAAAAAAATTGCAAAAAGTATATACCACCAAACTATGTATAATACGATCCTTTTTTGTGACAAGTAAATATTCATAATAGGCACTCAAAAGGGGAGAGCTCCATACAAGAAGCCGCCTACAGCAACACAACAACTTTAAGCTATCCACAAAATCCAAAAGACTATTCATAGATTTACAATTTCGCCTATTCACCCAAAAGAATAAAGAAGACAGTATATTGTATTTGAGAGACCAAATAGGAGACTCCTCCCCATCAAAGGATCTCTTATTTCTCTCGCGCCACACTCCCCACCAAAGACAAAGGGGAGTGGCCCTCCAAGCATCCCTAACTCTCCACTATAACCCAAGAATATAACCCAAATATCCATCACCACAAGGCAGTCAAGCAGAAGGTGGTTCACAGATTCCCCCGACTTCTTACACATGCAACACCAGTTCACCACAACCTGGCGTCTCCTTCTAAGGTTGTCGAGAGTGAGGATGCTTCCGAGGGCAGCAGATATGCAAAGAAAGCCACCTTGAAGGGGGCTTTTGCCTTCCAAATAGCTCTCCAAGGGAAAGAAGGGTCAGGGATCTCCATAAGGCTCTGGTAAAAGAATCTAAACTCAAACACCCCTCTGAATGATCCCTTCCACACCATCTCATCTATACCCACACCCTCCACCACCTGGTGGTAGATGATAGCAAGGAAATCTGAGACCTCCAAAAGCTCCCAATCATGGAACTGTCTGTGAAACTGCACATCCCAAGACACCCTTCCATTATCAAGCCAATAACTGTCAGCAACTGCAACATGTTTGTTCACAGCAAACCTGAAGAGACAAGGAAATCTACGAGCCAACACAAAGTCCCCACACCATCGATCCTCCCAAAATCTAATATGCCTCCCGCTCCTAACTCTGAACCGGATGCGTTTGGAAACTCATCCCAACAACCCTTCCGAATGAGTTTCCAATGTCCCATACCCACTGAAGCTCTCGCCTCCCTAGATAGCCACCCTCCATCTCCCTCCCTGAATTGACAAGAAAAACTCGCCTCCATAATTTTGTCCTCTCGCTCCCAAATCTCCACAGCCATTTGCCCAACAGAGCCTTATTAAAACTTGTAGACCTTGATAAAATTGTTCTTATTAAAATTTGGAAAGAATTCAAAATCTTATATTCTTTAATATTTTGTTTCCATAACTATAATTCAATTATTATAAATTTTCATCGAGTTTTAACTTTATTTAAAATAAACAGCGTGAAACATTAAAAATAAAAATAAAAAATTATATAATTTTTTTGGTATTACGAATTCCTCAGGTTCCTTGGGTTAGTAAGACTTTTGTCCAAATCTTGCACAAAATATATTCGGATTCTAAAATTTAAACCCAGACCAAGTGTCCCAAGTATCTTGCCCGCACTAGTGAAATTTTTAGGCGGGACTCGGGTTGCTCAGGTTAGCCCCACCCAAGTCCCACCACCCTCACTTACCAAATAGTTTTACTTCTTTTACACATATTTCGTTAAAACAATTAACAATCCATATATCATAAAACCAGCTAATAACATTAATTCCACACCAGCACAATTTGGTCAGCAATAACCCAACTTGTTCGCTCCCTTTCAAAAATTTCAAGTGCCTCACCAGTGTGTTTCAAAACCCTATCTAACAACACAGGTATGGCTGACCACCATCTTACTGCAGATTATTCAGGCAATACTTGGCTCCAGCTGCCAATATATTAATACAAGGGAACAGGTAGTCTAGCAGAATGAGAGGATCCTTGAGCAAATCATAAGTTACAATCTTTGGGAATTTTTCTTTTGGAAAAAAGGAAATATAAGCTTTATATAGGAAAAGCTTAGAACCATGATCTCCACAAGAGGTCTCCTAATTTGTCTAGAAGAAATAAACTGGCTAAGGATTGGGCAAAACAATCAACAAGCCAAAAATTTACCTGATACAACAAATCAACTCACTAGTAGTCTAGAACATAATATCAACAAAAGCATTATAAAGCAATCACTAGTCACTTCCTCTAAAAAGTGTCATGGAGTCATCACTAGTCGCTTCCTCTAAAATTCGGAGTAAAGTGAACATCTGCCTATAATTTTTTTTTTTTTTGATAAGTAAGAATTTTATAAAAAAGCGCTCAAAGGGGAGCGAAACCCAAGGAAACAAGATGAAAAAACCATAAAGAGCCTCAAGCCTTCAAAGAGGCCAAAAATAATAATAATCTCCTCAACAGAACGATATATCTCTCCCCGAGACCCAACAAAAGAAAGTAGAAATAATAGAAAACTTAAGCATAGAAATGGGTTTCTCCTTGCCATCGAAATATCTTCGATTCCTCTCGAGCCAAATGCACCACCAAACCCAGAGAGGGGAAGCCCTCCAAGCATCCCGGATGAGCGCCCCAACAAAGACACCTCTCCAAGCCTCAATCAACCCTCTAGAGGAACAGGGCATAACCGAGGGAACCCCAAATAACCCAATCATCAAATCCCAACAAACTCTGGCCATACTGCAATGCAACAAAAGGTGATCCACTGTCTCCTCATCGCAACGACACAAGTAACAGCGATTGATAACCACCTGCTTTCTCCTCCTCAAATTATCCCGAGTTAAAATCATACCCAAGACAGACGTCCAAGCAAAAAAGGCCACCTTAAGGGGAGCCTTGGAACGCCAAATAGCCTTCCAAGGGAAAGTGCCACCCTCCCCATCAGAAAGGCACCTGAAAAAGGATCTCACCTCGAAACGACCCTGAGAGTGTGGACTCCAAAGCCAACAATCAGCCTCCTCATGAGAGATCACCTGACGATACAATAACTCCAAAAAACGAGTGACCTCCTCAATTTCCCAATCCTGAAAATGCCTCCTAAACTGAACGTTCCGAGTTAGTCTTCCGTTATCAAGGTGATAACAGTCAACCACCAAGGCCTGCCTGTCAGAAGCAATCCTGTAAAGCCGAGGGAAAGAAAGAGCAAGGGGAAGATCCCCACACCAAAGGTCCTCCCAAAATCTAATCCTCCTACCATCCCTGATCCTAAAGCGAACATGATTACGAAAAACGTCCCATCCCTTTCAAATGCAAGTCCAAACCCCCACACCCCTATAATTAAAATCGACAAATCTTCCTTCACCTGTCAGTGAAATAATTAAAATCAACATATTCCTTCAAGAATCAAGGGCGGGCTTAAAGTGGGCAAAAGGTTATAAGGGTTACTCAAAACAATTCTAGGGCAACTTGGAAGGGGAGAGAAACCAGATAATATTTTGGAGAGAAACCAGATAATATTTTAAATCTGTTATTCCTTAGAGTAGTTGTATGCTCTTTCTTGTAGCATGTGGGACCTCGGATATTTGGTTGATAGAAATATTCTTCAATATCTTGTGCAGGGTTTAGTTAAGTTTAGTTTAGTTTATATTTGAAAATGTCCCTTCGATATCTTTATAAAAAATTAACTCTCATCCAAGATTTCTAGGCCTTATTATTTTTGGCCTTCTTCACGTCATCTAATACATTACTTTTTTTTTTCCATATAATGTTCTTTGTATAAAGAAAAGGTAATAATGAACAGAAATAGATCGGACTCAAAAATGGAATAAAAGAAACTCCAATCCTTATGCACAAATTTAAATGAAAATACAGTAGAGGCAAGGGAATGCAGCATGCCAAGTTTGTGATTGGATGAAATAGAGAACAATTGAATTAATAAAATTAAAAATAAAAAGCTAAAAAGGATCCCATTTAAGTATCATTACTAAAGTCTATCCATAGGACTCCCCCTTTATCTTTTTTCGGTTTTTGTACAGCTCTTGGGACGCGTTCCCCATTTGAACGCTTTCTAATACATTTTTACTTATCAAAAAAAAAAAAATTTACTAGAGTCTAGACAGCCCATAATTCTAGGTGAATCATCCTGCGAAACACATGTGAAAAAAGGTTGAGCATGTGCATACATGCATGCAAAGTTGATGGTATCAATAATTGTAACAGTATATCATTGGAAAAACAGAGCTAGGTAGGTTACATTAAAAAGTACATAGATATATACGCTCACAAAGATTTGAGTACATGACTTAAAAAAAGCATTTCAATGAACTGCAATTGACCTACATTTCTGTTGTAAAACTGCAGAGAAGACGAAGATTAAAGCTCATTTACTTTCCTCTGTATTCATTTTACTATTCTCAAATATTGAAAAAGAAGATGAGACAATTAGGTAATTTAATATGAGATCTGTGTAATGGAGGACGCATAGGAAAGTATCCTGGGAATGGACCTCTTTGCATATAGTAGATGGTAGCTAAATCTAGGAGAGTTGTCATGTGAAACAAGGTTGAGCAAATTTGCATACACGCATATTTCCAAACGTGACAGCATCAAGACTAACAGTAATAATTCAAGAAAAATGGGCAAGGTGGCTCCCATTTTATTTTTTTCCAGGAAAAGGCGCACAGACATGACTTAAACAAGCATTTCAATAAACTGCCATTCACATACGTTTCTGTCGTAAAACTGCTCAGAGGAAGAAGATGCAACTCATTTGTCTTCCTGCCAGCTTCAACCTCAGCTTCACACTTGTCAAGTTTCTCTTTCAAATATGTGGCCTCCTATAACCAAAAAATGACAGAATCATGAACTGTAAAAGCAGTATCAATTCACTGTTCAAGAAGGAAAGGAGAAGGCTACAAATAACAAAATGAAATGATGTATGCAAAAAAAAATTGACCAATAGAATAAAAGAGTAAACATTAACATAAAATTTCAAATCATTTTGCCAATAGAAAATTTGAAGTCATATATGTTCACAATATTTTAAATGGGAACTTTGACTGAAAGTAACATAAAATCCATTTCTAAATACAAAAAAACATAAAGAATATAAATTTAGAAGAAAGAATCACACTTTATTCAATATTTCTAACTAAATCTTCTTCCCAATTTAGGCCATCTGTTCAAACTTTCACAATGAAATTTTCATAATTATTTATACCAAGCCTGCATATGATAATATATATATATACCTTTCTAAAAGATCTAACAACAATAACTTTCAAAGAACAAACATTTCAAGAAAAAAAAAAATGCAATCCAGACATCCAAATATTTTAAATTAATTATTAAGAAATTTTAAGGGATCAAAACTTGTTTTCTCCAAGAGATCAATAAAAGGTTTACAATGTATTTACCAGCAGAAAGTAAAATGGACAAACCTCAGCATACCTTTTCAAATTCCTTTCTTGCAGATACTTCCTTTTCGAGCCTCTCCTTATAATCGTTCTCAACTTGGCTTAAATGAGTCTGCTTATCAATCAAGAAAGTATAATCCTATTTTAATAATAGGCAGAAAGTTTAGTTATTCAAGATAAAAATTTGCAGCAAAATCTCACTTCCAGAGCCTTGATGACACCCTCTAGTTCTCCCGACTTTTTGGACCATTCTTCAGAACTCTCCTTATATAGTTCAACAAGCTTAGTTACCTATGCAGTTGAGAAATATTCAGATGAAAGATAAATAACCAATAATAAAAGAAAATATTTATATTACTTAACCAACCCACAGTTTTGGCATAAGCATTTATTTCACACTGACTATCCCAAGCAGCAAGAGATGCAGAGCATAAAAGGAATTTCATGTGGTGCATGCATGATACGTAATTGAGTTTAGGGTTAAATTGAATTTATCTTCTTTTTCTTTTCTTTTCTTTTTTACATAAACAAAGGACATACCGTTGATATCTCAGCAGAAAACCGTTGCTCATTGGCTGCAGCATCATCTTTAGATGAACATAACTCCTTCATGAGTCAAGTTAAGGCATACGTCAGAAACAGATACAAAGAGAGTGACGGATGAAACAAACTGAAGAGAGGCAAATACAGTGAGACAAACCTCCTGCAGAGATGTTAGCTTCATTTCTAGCTCTGCCGCTCTCTCTTTATTCCACTTTAAAGAGCTCGAACTTTCATTTAATTTTCTCTCAACCTGAATAAGAAAAAAGAAAAGAACAAGTAGTTGACCAAAGATGGACAGAAATATGTAACTAAAACCCAAAAAAAGAACTCTTTATTACACTTACATCTGCTAGCTTAGCGGACATATCTGCCTCCAGTTCAGTATGTTTTTTATGCAGCTCCATGTAACTGTTTACTTTGGCTGTCAACTCGTCATTAAGCCAAGCATTATGCCTCTCAATAAGTTCCTTCTCCTGCTCCCAGAAAAATTAACGCAGTAAAGATCAGAATTGCACAAAAGAGCACACTATGAACAAGTATGCAAATAAAAGTCCATGAAAGCATAAAAGAAATTTAACAATGGCTACACAACAAATCGGTGTTTGCTCCTAGAAGCTAACATAGAGTTGCCAAAATAACACATGGAAAAGGGAAATCCAGTCAACATATTAGTGAACTCAGCAACCAGCCAGCGGTCAGAAACATGATGTCTAATTACAAAGGAAAATTAGCAGATCCAATATGTCTCCCAAATTGCCAGGCTTATCACTTATGCCTAAGAAAATGGTTCAAATATAGAACTAATATATTGTCCATCATGTTTAATGACATTCAATACAGTTGCGGGATTTTGTTGTTCCATCATGTTTACCAACAGGCTAGTGGCCTAGCGGTATCAGCCTCTTACTTCCCAAAGGGAGGTCAGGGGTTCAAGTCTCAAAAGAGACAAGTATGTGTGAGTACCAACTAGAAAGGAGACAAAAAAAAAAAAAAAAAAAAAAAAAATTGAAGATATTGCGGTAAACTTAGTGATAATAGCTTAGAACATAAGGAATGAAAGATATGCAGATTAAAGAATGTTTACCTTCCGACTTCCTTATAAATAAATAAATAGGCGTTAAACATTTACCTTCTAAAGGCAAGTCCATGATATCTTCTCTAGTCTATGAAGCATGAACACGGATACTAGATACGGACACGATACAGATATGGCAATTAAACAGTTCTTAAAAAATTGGATAAAGACAATACACATATACATATTATAACACTGTAGATATGTAAAATAAAATTTAAGTGTATGTATGTATGCATGTATAAGTTTAAAATAATAACTGGTTTTGTCATATTATATAAATTGTTATGTTGCATGGACATTAAATGTCAAATAATTAGCCATGATATATTCTCACTATATCAAAAAGCTTTTTAGAAATAAAAAAACAAAAAATCTAAGATTTTTCTAGCAGTTATATTTGACAATTTACATTTTAAAATTCAAAACTTGTTAAATATGTGTCACGAAGTATAAGAAAAATATCGGATACGTGGTCGAAGTATCTTAAAAGTATTGGATACATCGCTAAGATATCTTAGAAGAATTGAATAAGTGCTCAAAATAAATAAAATCCATTTTCAAACTATGGTTTCAACTATGGATACGTATAGGATATCAAACACGTATGTCCGAGTATCTAAGAAGTGTTGGAATCTAACACAGACAGGATACAAGTACGTCCCCCTTGTAGAAATTTTTTTTGTCTATATACAGAAATAAATTTATTCACAACACTGCTTGAAAAATATTAAAAATTCCTTTTCTATATTCTATAAAATGTGCCAACATTATGAACAGGCTACATTTTATATTTGGAGAGTTATGCCAAATTCGACCTTAAATTTGAGAAGCAGAAACCTTCACGGAGTGAGATTTGTCATATCTTTCATCACATTTACATTAAACATAGGATTCACAATGTCCAATTGAACACGTAATAAGAACGGAAACACATTTATAACATGTACCACAATAATGATACACTTAAAAAATACATAAATCAGAGTAAAAATTTTAGGTCAAACAGTACTTGCTAAAAAGAAAAAAAGGGGGGGGCCTCAAAAAACAAGTAAGATAACAAATACAAAAACGCTTAATATAGCCAAGCAAAGAATGATTAGCCCAAGGAAGAAGTACTGAAATGAAAAACCGAATGCAGCATACCTGGGACAATCGAGAACTGGAAGCATGAGAGCGTGCCAACTCTGCCTCAACATCACTCAGTTGAGCTGCCCTCAAAGCAGCATTGTCGGTCAAGTTCACCTACACATAATGAAACACATGGAAGAGTAATAATAATAATAACAATAATAATAATAAACCAACTTAATTAATAGTGAAATCAACACTGACAATATTAACTTTTCTCCAGCTAATGAATGTCAAATATATTTCCAAGGTTAAATATAACCACAGGCAATTAACTGATAGCAGCATAATTATTGTATTTTCTACCACTAGGGAGCTATGTTACAAGGACTCAGATACGTGCGTCTGATGCAGGTATGTATAAAAGTGTCGGACATATCAAATCCCCAAAGAAAGGACACAGGGACACTACTAAATATTCCTATTGTCTAATATTTTTATTTAATTTATAAGAGTAGAATAATTTATATATGTTACATAGTGTTTAATATAGGCATTTAACTTGTAATAACATAATAAAATTTAATCATCGAATATGTGTTTTTAGGTGCGTGTCCAACCAAAAGTGGACACATATCCCATACCCTATCGAAGTATAGTGTCTCTGACATGCGTACTTCAACTACATTTGAATATTCCATTTAACATAGCTAGAAAGTACATGAATTACCAAGAAAAATCTCCTAACAAGCAACATCATTGTAAGGAATCAACAAAACTCAACGAATAAATATAAATTTGAGATGCAGGCAAAAGCTGTATAACAAATTTACCCTGATGTTTCCTTGTCATATAGTGCTGTCCTAACCACCTTTAAGTCTTTGGGAGACATTGATATTTCATTGAAAAGATTCAGAAGGCAGGGGAAATTATAATGTAAGAGGGCCTTACATATATTTGGGCATCAATGAGGAAACAAGGGTTTGAAGAGATATCAAAAATCATAAGATATTTCCAGGTGCCCTGGTCAGACGTTCCAGATAATTGAAGAGATATAAAAAATCGTAGTTTTGCTGTTTAAGCATCCGGATGAACCACTGTCCCACAAGAGAACAAAGGGCATCATATTTGGTAGGACTAGGTGAACACTTTCTTTTTTTCTTTTCTTTTTTTTTTGATGAGTCGGACTAGGTGAACACATTAAACAAAAAAATTCTAAGATATGGATGAAGGAATTCAAAGAATATCCAAAGGAGAAAAATCATACATAGGAGGAGACTTTAATGGAAATGTTGGAAAAGATTATGGAGGATACAAGATTGTACATGGTGGACACAGATTTGGAGATAAAAACAACGCTAGAAAAGCCATCTTAGACTTTGCAATGACATATAATCTTAAAATCGAGAACACTGTATAAAAAGAGAGATGAACATTTAATAACCTTTAAAAGTGAATCAAATATAGCCAAATCGACTTCTTTCTAACTAGAAATGTAGATTAATTAAGCAAACATTGTAAGATTATTCCAGGAGAGAGTTTGACACCACATCTTATATGTATGAATAAAAGGGCAAAAGCAGAAATAAAATTATAAATCCAAGAACTAGGTAGTGGAATTTAAGAGGGGAGAAAGTAGAATTGTCTAAAAATAGGATTCTAAAAGCCGCAACATGGAAGGTAAAATATTCAATGGCAACCTCCGCGTGGACCTGATGATGAGACCTTTCGGGACTTTCTTCAAGTTCGGTCCCAATGTCGGATAGCCTTCGGGACAACCCACTTTGCCTTTTGGTGCATCTAGCAACCAAGTTTCTATTCTAACTTTGAATCTTTATCATTCTGATCACCTTCTTTTGTGCTTCCTAAACTCTTAGATCAAGAGAATAAAAGTCTTTAATAGGTTTAATTATAGGACAGATGATTGCACAAGCAACTCGTGTGTCGTTTTGACCCTGGTTAAAAATCCTTTATTTTTTGTTCCTATCTAATAAAATTCACCTTACCAACCAACAAGAAAAAGCTAATAGCATTCTTCTTACATGCTCTAGCCGGAACTTACCCCATTTTCTAGTGAGTTAGACAACGCCATCATGTTTCATGCAAATGACAACCCCAAATGGTCTCGCACAATATTTTCAATTTTCGGTTCGGCAAAGTTAAGTTATGCATTAAATTGTTCAACCAGTCATTGGTAACGCTAATGAATACACCTCTAGAACTAATTTTTAACCATCGAAAAACTACAACATACGATATTTATCGATGAGCCATGGAGCCTTCCAAATGTTTCCAATTAAGTAAAAGGAAGTAACAGTAATATTCGCTACTTACGATTTTATCAAGATAGCTCTTCATAGTGGCATTTTTCTCACTAATGTCTAAATCCTTCTGTTCCAACAATTCAATCAACTGCCTCTTGGATTTGTGAAATTCAGAAGCTTCCATGGACAACCGCTCGATCTCTCCATCTTTACCAATCTAAAAACAACAAAGAAAACAATTAGAACGTCAATAGAGAAACGATATTAATCAAAATTGGATTTTACAATTTAAGATCACCCTAATTATATATGTGTGTGTGAGTATCAATAGAAAGAATAAATGAAGTGTGTATTACGGATTTGAGTTGGATTTGATGCTTGTCGGCTTGGACTTGGGCGAGTTCAGATAGACGTTGTTCGAGAGCAGAGTTGAGTTGCAAGTTTTGGGATTCGAGATTGTTGAAGTCGGAGGAGAGAGAAACGTATTTCTGCTCGAGGAGAGAGCAGGTCTGCTCGGCGGTGATCGCGGCGGCGTCAGCCTGGGCTTTGACGGTGTCGAGTTGGTTGTAGAGCTCTCGGATGAAGGCGTCCGCCTTCTCCGACACCATAGAGGCGTCGTGCCTACATCGCTCCAACTCCTCGTCGGAGAGGAACAAAGGCATTTCTATTTGCTCTTGATTTCGATACTACTGGAAAGATTTTAGCCTAATAGAGTGTGCGTGTGATGAGTGTCTAAAAGAGATGAAATAAAATCTGAAGGAGCAATTCGAACGGAGAAACGACGATTCTTGTGCCTGTTATATGCCCTAGTAGGTGATATATATATGTATGCATGTATTTATGTATGTTTGTAGCCTACGGGCCCAGTTCCGTATTTCTTTTTTCTTTTTTTTTTTCTTCTTTTTTTTATCCTTCGGGATATTTTATTACTATTATTAATATTTTTTTAATGGTAATTTTATTTTATTGATAAAAAACAGTATAATCAGAATTTACAATTTGTGCTGGATGGTGAATATTTGCATTTAATTCTTCATTTATTGTTTTACTCGTGTAAAAATCGTATCATGTTCGTGTCATGATTTCCTGACACAAATAATAATTGTATAATTTTCGTTTTGATCCATATAAACGGAATAATTATTCTAAGACCTTAAACATTTAGGCCATGTTTGGTGTGGTTGAATGGAATTAAATAAGAGGGAATGGAATGCTTTTCTTTTCATTCTTGTGTTTGGTGTGGGCTATTAAAGGTGGAATTATCATTCTCCACCATTCTCGATAATGGTCATTCCACCAAAATCATTTCATCATTCTACCAATGGAATGAACATTCCATTCCCACTAGGATTTAAAAAATTATGCCTAAAATAAAAAACATATTATCATCTCTTTTGTAAACATCCACGTCTTCCCACCAAACATCATCTTCCAAACCATCATCGTCTCCTTTCTCAATTGTGGAACATCATCACAACCTAGCTGCCGTCATCATCATCACAACCCAGTCGCCGCCATCATCACAACCCTTGCACGCCGCCATTATCATCTCCTTGCTCGCTGCCATCATCATCATCACAACCCAGCCATCGTTAATTTTTTTTGTTAAATTTATTTATTTTTTAAGTTAAATTTCTTTATTCCCATTCCATACTTCTTCTCAACACAGTGTCTTTTGCCCTAATCTTGCTTGCCCCAATTTCATTTCTTAGGATTAATTTTTTGTTAAATTTATTTTCTTTTCTTTTTTAAGTTAAATCTCTTTATTCATGATAAAGGGTAATTTGGAGAAATGAAAGTAAATTAATTATATTCCAACTTCTAAATTGGTTCAACCAAACACGTGATTGAAAATCATCATTCCATATTTACAGCATTCCATGTTTACATCCAAACACTAGAATGGTTCTTACCTTCATTTCATTCCCACTCTATTTCACGTTGAAGTGATAATTGATAAATATGACTTAATTTGCAACATATTTAAAGTTGTCAAACACATCAATTTAAATATCATATAATTTTTTTTTTACTTGCCATTCTCGTTGAAACCTCCTAAAAAAAATTATTTATCAATAAAAATATATATTTTTTTTACGGTGTCTGGCAATATCATCTAGGTGGAGGTTGAAAAATTAGGTTGATTTCTATATGGCTTGCAGAATATAAATATATATTTTTTCGGTTAATTATATTTTTACTAAAAATTACCCTATGGAATTATTTTCCTTACCCTTAGGTTGTATTAAGTCGGCCTGTGTTTGGTATGATGTGTTTGAATGAGAAGGATAACATTAGTTACGAGGGAAATGAAAAGAAAGGGAAGAGAAGAATAATTTTAATTTGGCATTATATTTGGTTGATTAATGAAAGAATAGAAAGCGAACAATAATAATCATGTTTGGGGAAAGAAAGAGAAAGATAGGAAAGAAAATTATTTTAATAAATTTACTATTATACCCTTTTATATTTTAAAATATAAATATAAAATTTACTATTATGCCTTTTTATATTTTACTCGTAGGAAATTTTTTTTTAGGGCAAATCATTTCAGCCTCCATTTTTTTTAGGGCAAATCAACTCCATATCTCTTCTCGTTCTCAACTCCGTCTCTCTATTCTCGTTCTCAACGCCGAACTTCTCTCTCACACTCTCTCTCTCTCTCTGCAACTATAAACTACTACAAGAATCAGAAGTTCAAAAACAATATATTTCAGTTTATATATTTGTCTGCAAGAATCAGAACTTCAAAACCCATATCGGCATCATTTCAGATTGTTCAAAAAAGCAAAACCCAATTTCAGATTGTTCAAAAAATCAAAACCCATATCAGATTGTTCAAAAAATCAAAACCCATATCAGTTTCCATCGCCCGCTGTTCCAATTCGGGTTCACCGTTCGCAAGCAAGCTTCGCTGTTCTCAACTCTCAAGCTTGTCCTCCTCTCTCTCTCTCCAACTGCTAAATCAACTAATCAAGGGCAAGATTGGCATCTGAAATCACACACCAAGCCTCTCCTTCCCTTTCCCTTCATTTCCTCCCATTTTTGGGAGGTTAAGAAATTTACTGTTGAAGACACAAGTTAACCCTTCAAACCCTTTCCTTCCAACAATTTTTGCCAAACATAAATTTTTAATCCCCCTCCATCACCTTCCTTTCCCTTTCCTCACATTTCCACTCTACCAAATTGGCCCTAAATGATTTATTGGTTCTAAGAACTCATTACGTTTCTATAACCTACAAACGAATTATTAATTTAGTTGATGTTTGGTTGCGTTACCAAACAAACAAAGATTTTGAAGAATGATTATAAAAGAAAATAAGTAATAATACCAGTTAGGATAATTAATAAAACACTAAAAAATAATTCAAATGCAGCCTAATTTTTCAATCGGCAACCCATATAGAATTCGAAAGTTTAGGTCCAGATATGAAAACAAACACTCAGTCTCAACAAACAAAAAAGCATTCATAAATATTTCACATACAAGCTTTGGCACAGAAAAATTCTTCGTGTAGGCTGCTGTCATAAGACTCCTAACAACTATTATTGGTGTTATCTTTCAGTTCACGATACAGATGACTGTTAAAGCAAATCTACAAGATTAAATGGAAGTTTTTGGTCTCTTAAGGTGAGAAACAAAATTTACTGGAAAGTGGAGAAATGATAACTGCAGCAAACACACAGCAGATGAGTAAGATGGGATGCTGATTAACATTCTTCCTTTGCCCATCAGAGCTTCTTAAGCAGGGCTTTTAGATGTGGTTGAAGACTTGTAAGATGGGTAGCCATTTCAACCACATAAGAAAGTTCTCCATTAACTAGCTTAAAAACTCGAGCTATCTCTTTCACCTGCCAAGGAAAAAAGGAAGATCATCACAATGTACCCTCAACAATCACTAGAATCACAAATGGAGTAAATTGTTCTTCACAAAACATAGAACATAAAATGCAACAAACACCAGATACTTGTTCATGTCCTCGGGGAGAATTATTTCGAATCTGTTTACGTTTTTTCCTCCATGTAAAAATTTCAGACAACCAACTAAATACTTCCATGTCACATCAAAGTAACCCTAATGGTTTCATATTTTAAAAAGACACCGGATCAGAGAGATTTTAATATTTCTAAGCCAAATGGAACCTCATTTATTGTAATAGTCCCATTAAATAATTATAGAAAAAAATATGAGACTAGATTTCTTACATATCGCTCAACAATCCATAAGTTGATTAACATCGTCAATGTTGCTCAAATAGCAAGCATACTAGGTCTCACACCATCCTCGCACAATATCAGGCATATTAAATTCTCAATGTTTTACAATTTGATAAAAGAAAATGATTTCAGTAAGGAACTTGATACATAGTTAAGAATATCCTTTAATTTGCAAATTATCACCTGGTACACTATTCTTGTTCATATATTTCTTCAAGGGTCTTCATCTCAACTCTATCTATCATCATGGTAGCATAAAACAGATAATTTTTAACGGAAAACTACCACTAAATAGTAAAAATACTATAGAATGATATCTATATCATTTATATAATTAGACAATATTTGGAAATTACCAACAAATAGTTGGAATACTACAGAATGATATCTATATTATTCAAATAATTAGACAATATTTGGAAGTCGGCACCCAAAGGTTAGGGGATAGCTAATCATTTGGAGTGATATCAAGAACTTTGCAAGGATATGCCACCAAACCTATAACTTCTATGGGGAGTGATATAGTAGATCCATGGCATTGGGTCTGTAGATTGCTATGTATCAGTAGTATACAATAGCTCTTAGAAGAAAAAAAATGCCTAGAACTTGTTGGCCACTGGAATGATACCAAAATGCAAAAACTTCCCTAACTTGGTTAAATAGTAGATCCACAGTCCATACTCACCCAAATTAGTGTGTGAAGCAAAGTAATGGCTCCAACACTAGGGAGAGTGGGATATTTGGATGGGTTTGAATGACATGGAAGTGACCGGGTAAATGGAGAAAACAGATAAAAAGAAATAGAAGAGACTGGTTAAACACGAATTATAAGTATTCTACAAGAAGCATAGAGGGATTCATTACTTTATACGTAATATTAACAGTTATTTTTATAAGCATAATTCATTGAAATTATGAATCAATCTTCCAAATATAATAGAAAAAAATCTATAATGCACTGGGTACAGACCGAGAAAATTATAGAATCACAAATCAGTATGTTTTGAAATGTGAAGAGAACACTTTTACAACATGCTTCAGAAGATGCCTCAAATGTAAGATGTTATTGACATGGTAATTCTAGCCTTTTAAGTGCACTTTACTTGCTATTTAGACTATTTACAATCAAGGTAAGTTAGGGGTGTACAATTTAGGAGGTGAGCCTTCAAATATTTGCAAATTCTTCAATTGTAGCCGGTAAAAGATGAGGCTATTGTTTCTAAACCCATCTGGTCATCTTCAAACTATATGATAGAAATTTGGAACCAAACATTGGTTCCAACTGTTGCTTCTTCAGCTCTTCACTAGCATGTGGCTCACCGCTCACTCTGTTTGTGAAGGGCGGTTCAATTTTCAACTCAGCCGTTTTAATGACAAGCCCCCGTATAAAAAATTTCATGGTTTGGTCAAAGCACCTCAAACCACTAAAAATCTTATGGTTTGCTGACACAACCAGTTGTTCGGACCAGCTATGTCATGGACTCAACGTGTGCCAGGTATGGGTATGTACCCACATGTTGAATGTGTCAAATCCTCAAGCAACAGGACATATGAACACTACTAAATATTCATAATTTATCAATTTTATATTTTCTAGAGTAAAGTAATGTCTTCATGTAACATAGTCTTCAATATATGCATTTCATTTGTTTTAAAGTAATAATATTATAAATTCAATAATTGAAAATGTTTTTTTTTTTTGGGTGCATGTCTAACCAAAAGTGTTGAACATATTCCATGCATGTCTGAGTATTGTGTGTCCAACACGAGTACTTCGCCTACTTTTGAATAGTCCATGTGATATACATAGAGGACCAGTCACCTCATTATTCTCTTATTGAACCAAATGGCTTTCTATTATCCTATTTACAGTTCCAGGTATGAAAGCATTGGAGTTTGTAACATGATCAATGCCTCAAAGTAAAGAAAAAAGTATGTACGATACTTGTACAGTTATCTTTTCAACTCCAGTTTCCAGCACCACAATGTCATTTCCATCACAGAACAACACGAGGGGGATGAAAACCTACCGTGAGAGCTATGAGTCTATGACATTCTTCTTCCAACTTTACCCTAACCACGGAGCGCATGAAAACCTATGGCGAGAGCTATGAAGAGTTTTTGTTCAGTTTTGACCAGTAACAAGTAGGGAACACCCATTGGTGTACCCGATTCAGGTTGGATAAAGCCTGTTGCCAACAGTATCCAATGAAAAAAATTACAGCTATAGGCCAATTTAGATAGAACGTTAGTCCATACAGAATAATTCACAACACAGTTTGCAGTTTTTCAATACAAATAATGTTTGTTCACAATTGAAAATCTATCCATGGATCAAAATCACTAGAAAGGGATGAGGGAGCATGAATATCCAGGCCACCATTGGTTTTACCTATTAAAGCTTTAAGGAAGAATAGTAAATTCCCTACCATTGATATGACACTAAGAATATGATTGGACAATAAAAATGCCTCTATTCTAGACAAATCCACCTAAACTATATGATTCTTCATCCTTCTCTATAACTATCTCCAACACGTCGTGGCCCTTCTGGGAGGCTTGATCACAAGAAATAGTTTTAAACAAGGCACCTAGAGAGCAGATTGGAAAAGAGTAAAAGTGCTACTCTACAACAATTCGGAGGAAAAGCTCTATTTTCCCCATTGATAGCACCCTTTTTGTGGCTGTTTTTGCATGCGTGACATCATTTGAATGCACAACGCATAGACATTACATTACACATTAAATGGCAGGCAGCATGTGCTGATGATTATACTAACTAACGCTGTTCGCACAATAGCACTCCAGAAAACGCTCATACAACAACTATGAAGCTACTAGTTTAATTCTAGGAAAATATGCATGTGATTACATAACAAACGCCAAGTAGTTACAGAAATCTTATTAAACCAGAAAAGAGATATGCTATAAGAACTTTTTTGAACCACCATGAAACCAAAAAATCTCTTTAACACTCTTGCATTGTTGTATCCCATAAGGGCAAGCCAGAATTACCTTGGAAGCATTGGCCACAAGTTCACTCTGAAGCTTCACCACTTTCTCTTCTGCATTATATGTTCCCTTCTGGAAAGGGATAATATCAAAATATTGTTAGTACCAAATCAATAGATAAAGACATGTTTTAACCAAAATATTAGACGGTATGAGTTCCCTACTGAATAAAGTTGGCTGCTGGGAACAAAGCAATTCCAAGATTCAGTAATGGAAATTGCATAATTTTTTATAAAATTCACTTGGCATCCCTTATTAAATTATTTAGGGTAAGCAACAAACTCCTTTTCAAAAATTCCTGCTTATTTTATTATCTTATTACAGAATTAAGTAAATCGAATCATATCAAGCAACATAGTAGTAGTAAAATGCTGGTGATTAGCAAAAAATGTTGGTAACTATAATCAGATTCACTACTTTAATCATATCAATAAACTTTTCTGTATAGTAGTTCATATTTTTAAAGAAACGACACTATTGCACTAGTGGTCAATGACAATATCAAGATAACTAATCTCAAGGGACAATCAAGCAAGTAACCACGCAATCTTATTCCTTTTTTTGATATGTATCCGCTATCCACATAATCTTATTCTTGAGATGGGTTTACTTCTTTATGTAGGTGCATTTATAAGTGTTAATAAAAAGATTCTGTATTTCTTAATTTAACCGTTGTATACTGATTCTTGCCATGATTATATCTTAATCACAATTGTATAGCCGTTGCACAATAGCCTATAAATAGGCTCCTTTGTACATGCTCCAAACATACTTCAATATACAGAACATATATTGTATATCTCAGTCTATCTCTCTCTGTCTCTTTCTTATATTCAACATGGTATCAGAGCCATCGATTGATGGCCTGTACTACCTTTGATCTTCATCACAAATCTGCACCATCAATTATTAAATTTTTTTTTTTTCTCCACCATCAATCTTTAATTTTTTGTTGAAATTGACTCACCTAATCTGAAACCACCACATATATCACAACGTCTCTGCCGCCTATTTGCCGCAGCTCTCTGCCTGTGTTCTCTGCATTGTCCACTGTGCAAAGTCCACCAAATATCATTCAACTACTGTGTCATCTTCTTCAGGAAACACACGTTGCCCACACGCACCACTGCTACAGGAAGCCTGTACGCGTACCTCAGCCGCTGCCCATCTGGCGTTGCTAATTCAGCCGCTGCCCCTCTGCGGTCGTGATTCAGCCACTGCTCTCTGCCGCCGCGGCTCTCTGCCGCCACGGATCTCTGCCGTCATCACGGATATCTGCCACCATGGAGCTCTGCCACCGTCACCGATCTCTGCTCTCTACCGTCGCTCCATCTGCAGCCTCTGTCCTTCACCATCAGCACCAATAGAATAGAATTTGGTCGTTTCGATTCTACAAAATCTATCTAGAATTTTTTGAAGCACCGTTACACCACCACTGATCTCGCCCATCAATATCAACTTCTGACCATTCTTCACAGCAAAACTCAACAGCCTGGTCAATCTATCAGTACTTTTGTCTCTGAAATGCATGTTATTTGGGATCAACTATCTCTTTTTGAAGCCACTTGGTCGTGTGCTTCTGATGCTACAAAGTTTACTACCTATCGAGATCAGTAACGTGTAATCATGTTTCTCATGGCTTTTTAACCTTCATTTGAACCTGTTCGAGCCTCTCTCCTTCATCGACATCCTCTGCCTACCTTAGAAGATGCTATAACCGAGCTTCTTTCAGAAGAAACTCGTCTGAGTACATCTCAACCTCCGGCTTCAGATGCAATTCTTGCTACTCATTATCCCAGAAAGAAATTGACGTCATCCTTTTCCTCTCCAAGGAAGTGTAACTACTGTCAGAAAATAGATCATGTCGTATTAACCTGTCCCACCAGAGTTTGCAAGTTTTGTCACAAGAAAGGCCCAGGTCACTACCAGAGTGACTGTCCCAAAAACTGGCAATCTCGCACCAATTCTTCTAAAGGTTCTTCATCTAGACAAAATCATCCATTTTCCTCCATCACTGCTGCCACCGCTGAGGGATATTGTCCTCCTGCTTCTACAGTTGCACAGATGTCCACCAACGATATCGAGACCCGTCTGTGACAAATTATCTCCAATAATGGTACTCCTTCCACTGCCATGTCAGTTACCCCAGGTAATTCTTGGTTTTTTTATTCTAGCTACTGTAATCACATGACCTTTGATTCTACAATGTTTTCTAAACATTATCCTGCCATCAATACATCTACAATTCATACAGCTGATGGATCTCACATACATGTCAATCACGTCGGTCAAATTTCCACTCCCAATGTCTCACTCTCAAATACATTTCATATACCAAAACTTACAATCAATCTTATCTCTGTTGGTTAGATATGTGAACTTGGACTTAATGTCATTTTTTCATCTTCCGGTTGTCATGTACAAGATCCACAGATGGGGCAGACCTTTGAGATAGGCCGTAAAGTGGGATGTCTCTTTGAGCTCATCCATCTCCGCATTCCTTCTCATCGGCTCTCTACAATTTCCACTGTTGCTTCAACAACCTCTACTCCCTTATTTAGCCTTTGGCATTCCCGATTAGGTCATGTATCTGTTGGGCGTTTACGCTCCTTGGTGTCAACTGGTCAATTAGGTTCAATTAAAAATGATGATGTAACTTGTTTACCTTGTCAACTTGCAAAACAACCTGCTTTACCTTTCAATAAAAGCACATCTATTACTACTGCTCCTTTTGACCTAGTTCACTTTAATATACGGGGACCTTCTCCTCACACTACAATGGGGGGATCCAAATACTTTGTTATTTTTATTGATGACTACTCACGATTTACCTGGCTATATCTCATGAAAAATCGCTCTAAACTACCCCAACTTTACTATAATTTTGCAAACATGGTCAAAACCCAGTTTTCCCGATCCATTAATGCTATGGAGTACAATGAAACAAATTTTCTAAAATTTCTTCGCCAACATGGCACGATCTCTCACTCTTCTTGTCTTGGCATGTCCCAACAAAATGGGCAGGCTGAACGTAAACATAGGCATATCTTAGACACTGTTCGCTCCCTCCTAATATCCAGTTCATGTCCTAAGCGTTTTTGGGGGGAAGCAGCTCTCACTGCCGTATACACCATCAACCGTGTTCCCATGCCTATTATTGAAAATCAATCTCCCTATGAACGCTTATATGGGATCTTTCCTGCTTATAATCTTCTCAAAGTTTTTGGATGTGCTTGTTTTGTCTTACTTCAACCTCATGAACGTACCAAATTAGAGCATCGGGCTCGTCTATGTTGTTTTCTAGGTTATGGAATTAAACACAAAGGATACCGATGTTGGGATCCCATTTCCAGACGTCTTCGTGTCTCTCGTCATGTCATCTTTTAGGAACACAAAATGTTCTCTTCTCTCTCCAAATTCCATCTATCTCCATCTTCTACTCCATTATTCTTTACTGATTCTTTAGTCAAACTCTTCCCAGATGAGATAGATACAATATCTTCATCTGAGCTTCCAAACATTATCTCATCTACTCCAGAAATGTCGTCTTCATCTGAGCTCCCACAAATGGCCTTACCTAACGAATCCGCTTCATCTAATGATCCTGCTTCTGAATCTTCTTCATCAGATACCATCACTACTGCTCAACCTCCTCGCAAATCTGATCAGGTAAGAAAACCTCCTAGTCATTTACGTGATTTTCAGTGTTTCCCTACTATCATGTCTCATCATGAGTCTCAATCCTATCGTGAGGCTAGCTCTAACCCCCTTTGGCAGCAACCTATGACAGAAGAACTACAGGCTCTCACACAAGCTCATACCTAGGACATGGTTGCTCTTCCCTCTGACAAAACTGTTGTTGGCTGTAAATGGGTTTACAAAATCAAAACTTATTCTGATGGTTCAGTAGAACGATATAAAGCTCGTTTGGTTGCAAAGGGCTTCACCCAAGAATATGGCATTGACTATGAGGAAACATTTGCCCCTGTTGCTCAACTTACTTCTATCCGTAGCCTATTGGCTGTTGCGGCAGCTCGTAAGTGGGAATTATTTCAAATGGATGTGAAAAATGCCTTTCTCAATGGTGATCTCACTAAAGAAGTATATATGAAACATCCTCCAAGATATGACCATTCTCCAAATCAAGTCTGTAAACTCCATTGAGCACTGTATGGTTTTAAACAAGCTCTAAGAGCTTGGTTTGCAAAATTTAGTTCTACAATTGGAGATTTTGGATTTACCTCAAGCTCATATGATTCTAGCCTTTTCATCCGCAAGACTGACTCTGGTATTACTTTTCTCTTACTTTATGTTGATGACATGATAATCACTCGCAATGATCTTGCAGGTATTTATGCACTCAAAAAATTTCTTAGTCATCACTTTGATATGAAGGATCTTAGGCGCCTCCACTATTTCCTAGGCTTAAAGATTCTCTCTGATTCGGATGGCTATTATCTCTCCCAAGCCAAGTATTCTTCTGACACTCTTGCTCGTGCTGGTATCACTAATTGCAAGACAGCTCCTACTCCACTTGAGACCAATGTTAAGCTCACTCTTCTAGATGGTACACTCCTCAGTGATGCCACATTGTATCAACAATTGGTTGGCAGTCTGGTATATCTCACTATTACTCGACCTGACATTGCCTATGTTATGCATCTTGTCAGTCAGTTCATTTATGCGCCTCAATCTACTCATTATATTGTTGTATTACACATTCTTCGATACATTAAAGGGACTATGTTTCATAGCCTTCACTTTTCTACTCATTCTTCACTTGAGCTACGTGCCTACTTTAATGCTGATTGGGCAGGTGATCCAACTGACCAGCGTTCTACTACTGGCTTCTGCTTCTTTCTTGGTAACTCTCATTTCTTGGAGCAGCAAAAAGCAATCCGTCGTTTCCAGGTCTAGTACAGAAGCTAAATATCGTGCCCTTGCTAATTCCACACAAGAACTTATTTGGCTTCAATGGCTCCTAACAGATATGGGTGTTTCTCATTCCAGTGGCACTATTCTCTATTGTGATAATCAAAGTGCTATTTACATTGCTCATAATGATGTCTTTCACGAACGCACCAAACATATTGAAATTAATTGTCATATTGTGGATCAACAAGTTACTCGGGGAACCATACGCCTTCATTCTGTAACTTCCGCTGATCAAACCGCTGACATCTTTACCAAAGCTCATCCACCAGGCAGATTTCGGGAATTAGTTTCCAAACTCAAATTGATTTTTGCTTTACCACCTTAAGTTTGAGGGGGGATGTTAATATAAAGATTATGTGTATCTTATTATAACCATTGTTTACTGATTCTTGCCGTGATTCTTACCATGATTATATCTTAATCACAATTGTATAGCCGTTGCACAATAGCCTATAAATAGGCTCCTTTGTACATGCTCCAAACATACTTCAATATACAAAACATATATTGTATATCTCTGTCTATCTCTCTTTGTCTCTTTCTTATATTCAACAATAAGAATGGGTTTTCTTAACTCAATATTCTGAATTTTAAATTATAAATAAACATATAGAGAGAGCAACAGAGTTAATCATTAATTTGTTTTCATTACAATGGGGGTTTCTTTCTCTACAAAGGTATTTCCATAATAAAAATTTCCCATGGAAAGTCATCTAAATTTTTTGTTTAAATTATCAAAGAGCTAGGCTAACATCTCGAATTTTTACAAAATACCCTGTTGAATTTTTGTGGCTCAAATGAGGTCAGCAATTGCATCACCCATTGTGTCATCATCAACTTGCCAACCAAGGTGAGTGATCAGCAAGTAGGCGTGGGCATCAAGTTTGGAAAATGTCAGCTGCAGTCCTTGTAATACTTGATCATCAAGTATTTATTTTTGGTGACCCATCTTTGGCTATAAATAGCCATGTCTCTCATGCATTCCGAATCATCCAAAAATCATCAATTGAGTGAGTTATCAATATCAGTTAGTGGGTGAGAGAGTTTGGGTGTAATTGGGTTTTAGGTGTGAGCCACTTTGCCTTGTATTTCTTTATTTCTATAGTGAAATATTATTCTGTCTTTTCCCCATTGACGCAGGCATAGCCGAACCACGTAAATCCTTGTCTCGTTTGTGTGTGTGCCATTTTATTTTCTTGTCATTTATTTTTCTCTTGTTCTCATAAACTCCTATTCGATCCTTTTTTCATAACAAACTGGTATCAGAGCTCGGGTTCGTGTATTGTGTACACATACTGTTCACATATACTATTCGGGTACTGTTTACAAATACAACATTATTCACCGAGTAATTTTTTGGGGAGTTTTTTGAGATGTCGACCAGATACGAGATTGAGAAATTTGATGGCAAGATTAGCTTCAGTCTTTGGCGCATTAAGATGCAGGCCCTGCTGACTCAGCAAGGTCTAAAGAAGGTATTGTTCGGGAAAGGACAAGTTGCCAACAACTATGTCCGATGAAAACAAGGATGAGGTCGATGAAAAGGCACGCAGTGCAATTATTTTGAATTTAGCTGATAAGGTGTTGCGTGAAGTTATTGATGAAGACACGACGACAAAGTTATGGCTGAAATTGGAAAGTCTGTATCTGACGAAGTCTCTCACCAACAGACTCTACCTGAAACAGAGACTCTACACCCTTCGTATGAAGGAAGGTATGCCTCTTAAGGAGCATATTGATAATTTCAATTCTATTATTATGGATTTGAAAAATACTGATATTAAAATTGATGACGAGGATTAAGCCCTTATTTTGTTGTGTTTTTTGCCTCCTTCCTATGAGCATTTTGTTACCACATTGCTCTATAGAAAAGACACTATTAGTATAGAGGATATTAAATCCTCATTGAACTCTCAGGAGTTGAGGAAAAAAGTGTTTGGGAATATTGGAGATGAACAAGCCGATGGTCTATTTGTAAGAGGTAAAAGTGAGACAAAGAGTTCTGTTAGTAGGGGCAAATCTAGATCTCATAAAAATGTGGAATGTTACTACTGTCACGAGATAGGACACATCATCAAGCACTGTCTCAAACTAAAGGCAAAGAATGGGAATGGCAAAGAGAAGGTTCAGGAAGCAGCTTCTGTGGCAACTGCTACAACGAGTGATTCGGAAAGTGACGAATATGTTCTCATGACAACCTTGTGTTCAGGTATGTCATTTAATGACAGTTGGATTCTTGATTCTGGTTGTTCCATTCATATATGTTCTAGTAGGGATTCTTTCTCTTCCTATAAAGAGGTGAAAGGTGGTTCGATTTTGACGGTGGACAGGAAAGCTTTCAAAATTTTGGGAATTGGAACAGTCAATATCAAGACGCACAATGGGTTAGTGAGAACATTGTCAGATGTGCGACATGTACCGGATCTGAAGATGAATCTTATTTCAGTAGGTGTGCTAGACTCCAAATGCTACAAGGTTATAACAGATGGTGGAGTAATGATGGTCGTGATGGATTCTCTTGTGGTGCTACAGGACGCTAAGGTAAAAAAATTGTATCTTCTCCAAGGGAATACAGTAACAGGTGGAGCTTTTACAGGGTCTTCTACAGCTAGCAGAAATCTGTGTTCAGATCTTGGCAAAAGAAGAGTTAGAAAGAGGAGTGACGATCCTAATTCTCAAAAGGGTTGTGAGGGTACTACACAATGTGGTGGGAGAATAAAATCCGTTTTCAGATGGCAACAGTCCTTACAGGGAGGTAGACCCATGAGGATAGGTGTGATATTGACTTGCAATAATCTTGGTGGCTATGAGATAGTCCATTCGAGTGTCATTAAGATGCATGGGAGGCAAGTAGTTGGTCACAACAGAGATGCGAGGAAAAATCAAGGACGTCCTATTCTCCACAAGGGTGAGAAGATGACTTTTCATTACCAGCCGGTGGCTTGTGGGCGGTTGGAGAAGGTTGCTGAAGGAGATGTCAAACTTGAAATTTCTTAGGGTGTCTTTGATAAGCGTTTAGAGTTTGACAGAAATACTGGAGGTATGCTTGTGGCTACGCAAGACATGCATGGGTTGAAGAATGAGAGCCCGAGGGTTAAGTTTGAGCATGACTCAAACTTAACTAAAATTCTCAATTAGTTTGTGTTATGGAGAAGACAAGTTATTTAGCAGAGATACAGTGGCTCATTTGAATTTTCGCCAAGGTGGATATTTGTTAAATTTTGGTGGCTCAAATGAGGTCAGCAATTGCATCACCCATTGTGTCATCACCAACTTGCCAACCAAGGTGAGTGATCAACAAGTAGGCGTGGGCAACAAGTTTGGAAAATGCCAGCTGCAGTCCTTGTAATACTTGATCATCAAGTATTTATTTTTGGTGACCTATCTTTGGCTATAAATAGCCATGTCTCCCATGCATTCCGAATCATCCAAAAATCATCAATTGAGTGAGTTATCAGTATCAATTAGTGGGTGAGAAAGTTTGGATGTAATTAAGTTTTGGGTGTAAGCCACTTTGCCTTATATCTCTTTATTTCTATAGTGAAATATTGTTCTGTCTTCTCTCCGTAAACGTATGCATAGCCGACCCACGTAACTCCTTGTCTCATTTGTGTGTACGCCATTTTATTTTCTTGTCATTTATTTTTCTCTTATTCTCATAAACTCCTATTCGATCCTTTTTTCATAACATACCCATTGGGAAAATGCATTACTCTTATCATAAATTTCCAAAATCAAATTAAGAGATGTGAATTGGTGATGTCAGTGGTATTATGAAATGTAAAAAAAATAGATGGAAATAGTAGAGGCAGTAGCAAACCTGAACTTCAATAAGACCGGTGCTCTGAGCAATGACAACTTCAATGGTTCCGTCGGGTTTGGGTCTCCAATAACCGCTTTCAGAGTGCATTGGCTCTCCGGAGTCCAATTTCCATGTTTTTTGAGAATATGCAATCACAGGCTTCACACACACACATAAATTATCATTATCGATTGCTCAATCAGCATATTATAAAAGGAAATTTTAAAGAAAGACTTAACTTAATCATTAGCAAACTAATAGAAGAAGAGACATCCATACATATGTGTATATGTAAAAAGAGAATTACCTTGTTACCGGGATGAGAAAATTGGAGCTCTTCGCCGTATTTGAAGGAGGCGATGGTAGGAAAACCACCCTCGCCTTGGCCTCTCCAAGTACCTAACAAGTATGCCAGCGGTCCGACTGCCGGATGAACTGGTGGTGCCGGTCGTGTTCCACTGCCGTCCATCTCCGCCTCCCTGTGAATTTTGAGATTTTTCTCTCTAGATTTCTCTCTCCTCCCTGGAAGGCTAAAGCAAGTATGTGAACTCTGTTTATTTCGATTGGTTTTGCCTCTGCAATGCCGAGCTCCGTTTATTGTGCCTCTGAAATGCCGCGTCTAGTCGAGTCTATATTGTCCGCTGTCAATTTTTTATTCTTTGTTGGTCAAAGTCGTTAGAATATACTAGAGTATTTATAATTTACCAAGTCGTTGGAATATATATTCTAGAGTGTTTATAATTTCAACATTTTTCTTGGTTGGTTCTTTTTTAGTATCTGATAAATTGAATTGCATTAGTAAAAATTGAGCATGGAAATACAACTAAAGATGGTAAGATTTAAGATCAAAATATAGCATAGCGAGGGAGATAAAAAATAAAAAATAAAAAGAAGAAAAAAAAAATAATAATAACATTAGTTATGAGATAAAATAAATAAATAATAATAATAATTTTTATTTATATTTGAATAAATATGAGATAAGATATATATACATATATAAATGATAGAGGGAAGAAATTAAATGATAACAATCAAATTATTTTCATATCTTAGATGCGTAATAATTATTAATGGTAGTTTTGAAACTATGAAAATATCATTTAAATACTATAAATTTTCTTTTTATCTTCTCATTTTTTGGGATACGTAATATAAGGGATAACTCACTATGTTTTCTTTTATCTTATTTTAAGCAACTCAAATACAATCTATACTATCATTCTTTTCTTCTTCTTTTTTCTCACTGTCCCTTCAAATCTCTCAATCTAAACGTACCCTAAATAAAATTATTGTACATTATATTTATTGAGAAGCAGGTTATAGGATTGTTCCTCGCTGTTCTTATGAGCCACCCATCCTCACTAATCACTAATCCCTAACAATAAAAATAATAATAATAATATATATATTATTACGTATTGTTTTCTCAATAATGCATATGCATATAAATAAGTGTTTACCAAATTACGAGGTATTTGTATAGAGAGATAGATGGATATATAGAGAAATTGATATTTCTTAGATAAAGTAAAATAATAAAAAGAGGCAATATGTGCATTTATATAGAGAGATAGGTGGATATATATAAATTGATATTTCTTAGATAAAGTAAAATAATAAAAGGAGGCTATATGTGCATTTAATTTTGCAACATTTGCACTACAATCTTAAATAAAATGATTCACAATTTTCATTACAATTTTAAATGAAAAGACAACACTAACCTTACCTTTACAAGTAAATAATTATTACTTTTTAATTGACACAACCGCCCTTTCATTTTTTTCTCTCCTTATCTTTAATCTTTAATATTTTAAGTATCTTTTGAGAATGCATAAAATAAAAAAAAATTTGAATAATTTTTTTTTTAAGTGACCAAAATTTTTTTTTTTTTTTATGTTGAAGAAATTGCCTCTTTTGTCCAGATAAAAATACATAAATAAATAACAATTTAAAAAATGATCTCTTTTGAAATGAAGAAAAAAAAAAACCCCAAAAAATATATTTATTGAATAAATTATCTCTATTGTCAAGATCCCAAAAAAATAATAATAATAATAAGTACAAAAGGAAGATGATTAAAAAAAAAATTATCTCTGTGGAATAAATTATCTATTTTGATAAGACAAAAATATATATATATATATATATATATATATATATATATTTTTATCGAATAAATTATTTCTTTTAACGGGACCCATAAAAAATTACCAAAAAATAAAGTTACCTCTTTTGACAAAATTGAAAAAAAGAGGTCAATTTTGTTGAATAAGTATCTCTTTACTATCAGAAATAAAATTATTAGTGTAGAATAAATTATTTTCTTTGAGAGGACCTCAGAAAAAACAAAAAGGAAATGAAAAAAAAAAAAAAACAGTAAAAAAAGTAAAGAAGGTAAAAAAATATATATATTAGAGTTGTATAAAGGGTAGTTATAACATTATAAATTAAGGAATTGTGCATTAATGAATTTAAGGACTTTCTTGTCATTTTCTTAAAAAAGAATGATAAATGTAATGTAATTGGATAAAAATGGAGTGTGAATATCGTCTCCTATAATAAATTGCATATATATAATACAAGGAAACAATTTAAGAAACAAATTTAAGGAAACATGTATAGTAAGTACATAAGGGAGGGAGAAATTTCAATGGGGGCATTTTACACATTTTCAAAAAATTTATACACAAACACAATGTTTCTCTAAAATTGCGATTGCTATCAATTTTTTCATTAATCAAATACTATTATCTTAATTTTATTTTGTTTTATTTTTCATTAATCAAATACTATTATCTTAATTTTATTTTGTTTTTATTTTATCTCCCAACTAATGTTATTCTATATTTTTTTTCCACTATATCCAATAGAGCCTGAATTTTGGGTTAGAGGGCAAACGTAACACTATATAGGCCTCCGAACAACGTCGAAACTTTTGAGTCAGAAGGCAAAAGTGACCACGCTGGAACTAATCCCAATCCATTCAAATACAATTTTCAAATTTGAAGTAGTAGCCATCTTTTTATGTGTTTTTTTTATTATTATTTATTTTTTTGAATTTTCCATGTTAATTTAGAGTTTTAGTTAAACCATGATATGGATAAGGCATGCACTTAGGATATAGATCAAACAATATTAGTTAAAGAAATTGACATATTATGCAGATGGAAATATCGTAGAGAATAAAGTTAGCAACGAACCTCACATAGGAATGATAAATAAAATCACTAGTAAAGAAGTAGAGGACGCATTTAAAAAAATGTGCATAATAAAATGGCAAGACAAAATAACATACCTACAAAGGCATGGAGACTTTTAAGAAATGTGGGAATTGAATGGCTAACAAAGATGTTTTTATTTTATCACCCAATTAGGGGTGGTAAAAGTTGACACGATTCGCCAACACGACTCGAATACGTCACGAGTTAAATGGGTTTGGATTAGCCTTAAACGGGTTCGGATCATAAACGGGTCGACACAATTAACCCGTTTAGTTAATCGTATCGTGCTTGGATTGAGGGGTTCAACCCGTGTAACTCATTTATACAAGTTCAACTATATATGTTGTTAATAAATTTATATTTAAGTTTTAAGATTACTATATAAACTTGTGTCTTATAATTTAATCTTTTGTAAACTATTAACTATTTACAAATTTGGTTGATTAAAACTTATATATTTTTTTTAGTGTTTATTATTTTATTAAGTATTATTAATAATTTAAATAATGTATATAAATATATATATTTTTTAAATATGTCATTAAACAGGTTATACGTGTAACCCGTTTAATAAATATGTTGGGTTAGTGTTAAGAGTTTCTCACTCGATTATTAAACGGGTCGTGTTCGGATTGAGCTATTTAGTATAATACCTTTAAATTGACACGACACGATTACAACTCGCGAATGCAAATTGCCACTCCCATTCCCAACTAATGTTATTCTATTTTTTTTCCACTATACCCAATAGAGGCTGAATTTTGGGTTAGAGGGCAAGCGTAACACCATATAGGCCTCCAAACAACACCTAAACTTTTTAGTCAGAAGATAAGCTATTGTAGGCTCCACTTTGATTGTTATAACGAGACCGACCCTTACCTTCTAAGGCCATTTGCACCAGCCTCTCCGAAATTTGACTCTTTAAAAATGCTACATCAGCTTTTCCAAAAGTCACGTCAGCAGCTTTCACTCTCCAGAAATATACACTCCATCAGGTTCTCCGAATTTTCGCTCTAAAAAATATATATATATATATATAATTATTATTTAAAAAAAAAAAAATTTCCTAACGGCCATATTTTTAACGGCTATATTTTCTCAACGCCAATATTTTTCAATCAAACAATATTTTTGCAAATTATTAAAAAAAGTACGATTGATATTATAACTTGAAACAATACATTATCCATTATGGATTAAAAAAAATAAATTAAACAAAACAATTAAAAATAACTTAAACAACACAATATCCTAAATTGAAATAAGAAAATAAATAGACCAATGATTACAAAATCTTATGGGAACTTTGGGGCGGACCGTGAATTCAAAGATGTCAATATCTCATTTTGTTGTGCAATAATCCAAGTTTTTCCCACTTCTATTGGTGACGAATTTGGATCTGTTAACATGATCTCTTTTTCTTTAAGTCTTTATTTCTCTATAATCTCTAGCTGCCTCGTCTTCTCTTTCTTTATTTTTCTTACCTCACGTGCCACTTGGGCATCCGGCATTTTTTCCTGACGACTCTCGAAACGGTTGGTGATATTATTAAATTTCGAAATGAATAAAGTTTGCAATTCATTTGCTGAATTAATTTTTGCTCGACGCCGCTTCGCCGTTTTTCTTCCTGCTAGTCTTTATAGTTGTTGATATTCTTCCACACCGAGTGAATCATTTTCCCCTATGTGTGGTGATTCTTCAGTTGAAGCTCCATCTGTCATGGCTGCACGACTTGCTGGAGTAGATGGTAATGAGTGCCCAACAGACTCATTAATGTTAAAGTCAAATCCACTCCTTTTCTTCGACTGTTTTTTCTTTTTTCCTTTTCCTACTTGTTCGGCACAATGTGAATGTCATTTATTGTTATGCTTCAAGATCTCCCATCAACTTTCTAACTTAAATTCACCACCTGTTTGGCTACGGAACAGGTTTTTAACTGCTATCATCTACACGAAAAAATTAACAAAAAATTAAAAGCCGACTATTTAAAATATTTACGAGTTATATTTAAATAATAAATAACTCACCATATCATCATTGCTGAAGCCACTGGGATGATTCATTTCCATGGTAGTCATGCACCCGAAAATTTTGCTATTTTTTGTTTGATTACCGACCAACGATTCATCAAATCTCTGTCACTTCACTCAGTTAGAACACCAATATGTTGTTTATATTGTTCCAGAATTCGCTCCCACAACTTCTTCTTACTTTGGTTTGCCCCCGTAAAGCCTCATTTTCAGCCTTAGTCCAATTATTAGGTCGGATAATCGGTTGTTTTGACGAGGGTTTTGAGTTACTTGATTGTGGAACACTAGTACCACAATCACGATGAGAAGGTCAGGAAGGTTGATAAGAAGGTTGGGAGGGTTGATGAGAAGGAAATTGAGAATCTCCTCTATAATAATTGATATTGTCTTCGAAAAATGGCAAAAACTAATCGTTTGATGGGTTGAAATGGGTATTGTAATAAAATGGATGTCGATGATCCATGGAATCGAAAATGACTTTGAAAATAATAGTTAAGATTGAGAAAATAGAAGAAGAAATAAGTTGAATGGTAGATAATAGAGATGCGTTAGATGTGATGAGTGATGGTAGGAGTTAGAATATTTATAGAGATTTTAAAATTTTTAATTAATTTTTTTTTTTTTTAATAAAGTTAAAAAAATTTTGAATTTTTAATTTTTTTTTTTTAAATTATAGCCGTTAAGACACTGTTTATGTCAGCCAAATAGTACCTTAACGGCAAAATACACTATTTGTGGTACACATTTAAAATTTAAAGCAAATTTTGTTTTTTAAAAAAACCAAATTTTAAGGGAAAAAACAAAAAAAAAAAAAAAAAAAAAAGATTTTTAAATTTATTTTTGGCTCAAAATTTTTTTTTTTTTTGGACAAACAATGCATAAACAATATATTTTTTATTTAATGAATTTTTTTTTATTTTATTTTTTTTAAAAAAAAAAGCTCTAAATAACCTATTTTTAGGTTTTTTTATTAAAAAAAAAAAATTCTGTCAAATAGTGCCTTAAGGCACTCTTCAATCACTGTGCACAACCGTTGGAGGAAAAAACAAAAAAGGCAACCAAAAAGGGCGCCGTTTTGCAACAAAAAAAATAAAAATTTCAGCGCCCGCGAGCAAAATTGGGCCCTACCATTCTTGGCTAGGCCACTGCACGCCCAAAGTCCCTTTTGCTTGTGGAAAATGGGCTTTGAAGAGCCCGTTGTTATTGCTCTAATAATAAAACTTATGTTGGGTAGTGTGGCCTACATGTATTTATATCAAGAGGCGAAGTCGGCATGTAACTAGAGGCAGCTACCCCTTGCCCCATGCTGGCTCACTAGAATATATATATTTTTTAATACATAAATTTGTAGAAATTGATAAAATGCCTTTTAAAATCAATAAAATGGCCCCTCTGCCCTGAATCCACTAAATTTTATTTTATTTTTATGCGTATGATTTGTAAATATTTATAAAAGATCCCCATAAAATTATCTATTTCTAAAAACGTCTTTAATTCTTTATTTATCTTTCTTCTTATTTTCAAATTTCTTTTTATTATCTTCAAAAACTTTTGCATTCTCTTTCTACAATTAAAACCTATTTTCTCATTCAAAATTCTCTCATATTTTTTTCCTTTTTATTTCATTTTCTTCTTAAAAATTTCCTTTTTATTGCACTTATGCATAATTTATGTGCAATAACTTCTGCTTTTTTTTTAGTGTTAACTGCAAGATTATTTATTAATTGTGTGACCCATATAATCTGGACAAATGATTTCTTTATATTATTTGGTGGTTAAGTAAATGAATATCAGATTAATATTATATTATTTGGTAAACTTATAAATTACCTTTTTGGTAATTAATTATTAGGGAATTGTTTTACTATTTGTTCCTTACTTTGATGAAAAATAGATATTAGAATTTGGTAATTAATTATTGGGGAATTATTTTCCTATAATGGAAAGTGGATATTAGGGTTATTAAAGTAAAATTGGTTCTGCCATTATAAAATGTATATTTCTATCAATTATGTACACTAATGAAACAATACGTATAATGTTTACGTGTGCAAAAGGTTAAGAGAAATCGATTTCCACACTTTGACTATTATTTTAGCTCGACGTTGGGGTTTGATCTCTACGAGAGTTGCAATGACAAATCGAGATATTTATATTTAACTATTTATTTATACATTATATACATGTGAAAATAAGATCTTAGAATTTATATTTACTTGTTATTTGTAATTAATGTTGGACACGAATAATTATAATTTACATTAACATGCCTTCTCTTAACTAAATTTCTGCTTAGCCCCTTCTTATATCCATGACTAATCCGAATGAAGAAGATCAGGTGCTTATATATGGGTGCGGTATACGAGACTACCCAAACAAATTAATATTTTTTAATCAAATGCAAGCGCCTAGCTGTGTAGGCTCACTGGAACTCTGCTCCAACTCGGAAAGTTCTTGTTGGGTCATTCAGTGTGACATATCTAATAAATAAAAAATAAAAGAAGTTTAAATAGATCTTCTTACCTACTGCAATAGGAGCAAAGACACTGTTACAAAATAGTTGTTATTGGCAGTTGCATAAAGATCACACTATTTGTTCCTTGTTTTAATTCCTGTATTGTTTACAAAATTAGACCCAACAGCTCTCCTAGTGGGTGACATGCACTGGACTTGAGTTGGTGACAAAACTCAAAAAAGGCCCTTTCTTCTGATTTTTAGGTATTTGTTTGGAAGGTAGGTATCATGAATTGCTTGCACAGCTGTATCACATCACAGAACAGAAGTGGGCACAGAAGATGCATTTATTAGTGTTTTGTAATGTAGACCACGATTTCACAGGTTTAAACGGCGATTCATCCGTATCTCTCTCTTCCTAACGTCCTATATTTGAGAGCGGCGACCGTTTCCTCTACTTTCTTCTCTCCACGTTGTTGTAGCCCTCTATTTCTCGCGCTCTTTCTCTCTCTTCCAATTCATACATCACTCATATATTTATGGATTTTTGTAATCCTTCTGTTATTATTCTCTCTCCTCCTTCCCACATTTTTCTCTCCCCAAATATCTTCGGAACCAACAACAATCACGGTAATAACACCAATCCTCTCTTGTACGCCCATGGCTTCAATCAAACAACTCCTTGTCCAAACGGACCTAACCCACACTTCCCGTACATTTTCCTCCTCCTGAGTCTCCTTTTCTATCGTCAGAGAGGAAAGAAGAGAGTACCAAAAGCAGGAATTTCAAATTTTATGAAATTTTACCATTCCCAGAGGATAAAGAAAAGACCAATTGCATACCAACAAATACAGGTTCTTTTTTCTCTTGCTTTCAACCTCCCAAATTTGTTTACTTTTTTCTCCTTTTGTTTGTAATTCCTATGCGTATGATCTCTCTGTATTTGTCCTCCTTTCAATATAATTATAGATAATGTTTTTATTTTATTTTATTATTATTTTTTTTTATCAATTATTTTGTTTGTTATGAGTGTAATGGTACAGCAAATTAATTGTGATTTGAATCCTATGAGAGTCAGAGGTTGGGTTGCAGTTCGGTACCCTTTCTTGGTCCTGAGACATCCTCTTGAATTTAAATCATTCACCTATTTTAGAGTGTCAATTGGATTGCACTGAGAGTTGCTAGAGAATTTTCTTAGAGATGTTAAATGCATCACAATGAAGGTGTTGGGAGGGAAAGATTGAGAGACATATTCAACATTTGCGATTATTTCGTACCAAGTGGTTGCTCTAAGATTCGAACTTCATCCCCACTCTTCTTAGTTTGATTTTACCATGACTGCTTTGATAGCACTTGGTGACACCGTGTCTCAGCCCATTGCACGCACAAAACACACAAGCGTGAGACTAGATTTACAGGAACCTTATTCCCAACATTTACAATGCTTGACACTAGTAGAAGGATTCCGGCCTAGGGTCTACATAGGCAAGCATAGATCATCCAATGCAAGAGTGAGCATGCCTTTATATGGGCATTACAGAAGTCCTAGAAAACTACCCAATCTCTTACCCCTTACCGTCCTAGGATGTGTTGGCATTCACCAAAGGTTGTCTACAAAAGCCTTCACAATTAACAATTCCAAGTGCGAACACAACCAACACTTGCCGCCAGTGCTACTATTGTGTTGGTTTTTCCAGCACTTGCCACTATTCGATACTTCTAAAGAAGCCATAGCAATAAAATTAGAAACATGAGAAATGCATTAGAAGTAAAAAAGATATAAAATTAATTTGGAATGTGAATTTAATAAAATGAAAATATCACTATAGTAATTCCAAATCAAAGGATTACTGAAAATAATCATTTCTTATGTTTAGGATTAATAATACACAAGGACCGGAAGATAGATGATGTTGTCATTAGTAGTATTTGAGTTGATTGGACAAAATGGAGACAGATTAATGGTGCCCTATGTAATAAACGAATATCAAATAAATTAAAAAGGAAATTTTATAGGACGATAAGTCAGCTATACCATTTACCTTAAACAAAAAATAAAAAAATGTCAGCTATCTTATATGGCACAATGCTGAGCGTTAAAAAAATGACAAGAACAACCATTTGCGTAGCTGAAATGAGAACGCTGATATGGATGATTGGAGTGACTAGAAGAGATGAGGTAAATAATTAACGTGCGGGAGAAAAACTAGGATTCTACTCCTATCAGTGATAAGATAAGGAAAAGCAGACTTAGCTGCTATGGACATATGCTCTATAGAATTGTCAATGCACCGGTAGAAAAAGGAAGATTAGTTTGCAAAGAAGGTAAGAAACAGGGAAGCCAACCAAAATTAACACGGGACAAAGTAATTAGAAATGACTTCAAGAAATTAAATATAATAGGAGATATGACTTGTAATAGAAAATAATGAAAAAAACAGTGTTTGTGTGGGCGACCCCTTCATATGAAATAAATGCAAGGATTATGATGATTTACCATGAATTGTGCTCATACTGGGGGGTTTTTAGTCTTCTGAAATTTGTGTCATTTAGTTTGCCATGATCTAAAAGAAGTAGAAAGCAATTTTTTTTTTTTTTTTTTTTTTTTTTTGTAGATAAACTACATGTCATCAGAAGAAGCATCATTTGAACCCAGAAATATGGATCTCTTTCCAAGAGTACTAACAGTGCAACCTCTAATATAACATATGAGCCTAAAAAAGTAGACAAAACAGCAAAAAGTAGTGTCAATTCAACACATAATTCACCATGTCAACCAGGATATATAAACTTTATTTTGAAAACTAATGTAAATTTGAATACTGACATACCGTGTGAATCCAAAAATATTGATCCAGCTACAAAGACTGGTACCAGTTCTACTACTATTCCATGCCCATTGCCAAGTTCAAAGATGTTTGCAAACTCTGAACTCTTGACGGCAACATCAACAGGGGCAGCAGAGACAGTACCAGGTAGTCAATTGGTCACTGGCCATGGTCAAGGAATTGGAAATAGCGCCCGTAGTGACAGCTTAGAGAGCTCCAGTGCACACTTTAAGCCTCATACTGGTGGTGATGTTGGATGGGATGCCATCAATTCAGTTTGTTCCAAAGATTCCCCTCTTGGTCTCAGCCACTTGCGACTCCTGAAGCGGCTAGGATATGGAGACATTGGAAGTGTCTATCTTGTTGAACTCAGGGGAACCGAGACTTACTTTGCCATGAAAGTTATGGACAAGGGGTCCCTTGCAAGTAGAAACAAGCTACTTCGTGCTCAAACAGAAAGGGAGATTCTTGGTCTTCTGGACCATCCTTTTCTGCCTACTTTATATGCATATTTTGAGACTGAAAAGTTCTATTGCTTGGTTATGGAGTTCTGCAGTGGTGGTAATCTCCATACCCTTCGACAGAAGCAGCCCAACAAGCATTTCACTGAGGAAGCTGCTCGGTCAGTACCTATCCACTTTACTCAATCTATATTTGTTTCTCTTCAAATTTTATTTTGGCTATGCTTTATTATTGAGATTTGGGTATTTACTGGCTTTATGATGTAATACCAGTATTTGTACCTTTTAGCATGTATTATACTGTAACATCATGCCTGCATTAAAAAGGAAGGTTAAGATAAGCTGGCTACGTTTTTAAATCCTGTCAAAGTAGGCTTTGCCTGATATATGTGGAATATGATTTGTCTTATTGAACATGAATACTGAAAGATACAGCTAGTGTGGTCCGTAAATATGCATCTTTTTACTTGCTCAAAATTATCTTTTAGAACTGATGTCGGCATTTCTTTTCTTAGATATAATTTTCTCCTTGTCATATATCCACCAGAAAATTTGTGCTATGCCTGTGGTTAAAGAAAATGGGGGAAAATAGAAATGAGTTAAGAATGCTGCATCTTTGAACACTACACCTGTTAGAATACATTTGGAAAATATTTTTAATTTTAAAATCATCTTGATCAATGAATATCTTTTATCTCCATTTAGATTTAACCAAAGGAGTCATTTATTTTGTGCCTTTAACTACCTTATTTCTTAAATTATGTACTGTCTTTAATGGAGTAATTTCTTAACATTACATGTATTAGTTTTTCATATGTTTAAATTTTTTCCCCCCACTTTATTTTGTTCATATAGGTTATTTCTTAGTAGCTTGAGCATGTAAATGGTGCGACACATATCAAAAGTAAAACTCAGCACATACTTTTTTATGATTAACATAACTAATCGAAACCTTTTTCAAACTATTAGGTATCTGCACATTCTTTTCATCTTTCACTTTATCCCCAGGTTAGGTTTGTGCACATCCACCCTTTTCCTAATACCTCATATTGGTGGGACCAACCTAGGTAATGGATTTTTGTATAGCTTCTGTTGCAGATCAAGAAATTTACACTTAAGATCTATATTTTGCTCAGTGTTCATGTCTAGTTATTTAAAAAATGTTTAATTTTTTTATTATTCATCAGTTGTAGGCATTTTTCTTCTCTTTGACAAAGTTTGTATACAAAACATGTCCATGAAACAGTTTGATGGAATTAATTCCTTCACTATTCTCTTCATGTTGTATTGTTGTTGCACAACAGAGAATTTTTTCTTGTTGAGTGAGAAGTGTTTAAATCGTCAGTTGACTAATGAATATTTCAGTTACAAGAATGCTTAAGATTTGGTTGTAATCAAAGCTTTAAGTTTTAATATAAATGGTAATGTTTTCCCTTGCTAATAATCCTTTAGTTTTGTGCACAATGATCCATGTTGTCTACTGGATCAAGTTTCTTATGCAAATCTTAGATATTAAATATAGCAGATAGATTTCATGTGTTTTTAATACCTCTAACTTCTGCAGGTTTTATGCATCAGAGGTGCTGTTGGCACTTGAGTATCTGCACATGCTAGGCATTGTGTACAGGGATCTGAAACCAGAAAATGTGCTGGTGAGGGAAGAGGGTCATATTATGCTCTCTGACTTTGACCTATCACTTCGTTGCTCTGTCAATCCAACTCTTGTCAAGTCTTCATCTGTACACGTAGGCGGTGGCAGTGGTGTTGCTGGCGGAATTTTAGATGACAAGTATGCTGTGCATGGTTGTATCCAACCATCAACTTTTCTCCCCCGCATCTTACCTAAGAAGAATCGCAAATCTAAATCAGATTTTGGTCTCTTTGTTGGAGGCTCCCTCCCAGAACTAATGGCAGAGCCCACTAATGTGCGCTCCATGTCATTTGTTGGGACACACGAATATCTAGCCCCAGAGATTATACGTGGAGAGGGTCATGGCAGTGCAGTGGACTGGTGGACCTTTGGTATCTTCTTATATGAGCTATTGCACGGGACAACCCCTTTCAAGGGTTCAGGAAACCGTGCCACCCTTTTCAATGTTGTAGGTCAGCCATTAAGATTTCCAGACACTCCACAAGTGAGTCCTATGGCACGCGATCTAATACGTGGACTCTTGGTGAAAGAACCAGATAAGCGAATTGCGTATAAAAGGGGTGCTACAGAAATAAAACAACACCCATTCTTTGAGGGGGTGAACTGGGCTCTTGTGAGGAGTGCCATCCCTCCTCACATACCTGAACCTGTAGACTTCGGACATATTGCTAGTAAAGGGGCAGCCCAAGCGGATAAGAAAATGGCAGAAATTGGAGTTGATAAAAACAAGAGTAGATCTAATGATTATGTGGATTTTGAATACTTTTAGGATTTGGGGTTCATACTTGGATGATTCTATACATTTTTTCAGTGTTTTATGCTTTGTACAAAGAGGAAAATAAATAAAAACTTTTTGATCGAAAAATCATTATATGGAGGAAACAGTTATCAGTTTACTTGAGACAAGGAGGACAAAGTATTATGTATGCTGGGTGGATTGATTAGTCAATTGTCTTTAGCTTATTAATTTTAGAAGCATATCATTTTGTACAATCTTTAGTTGAGGTTTGTCTTTCAGGCTTGCGACGCTATGGAAGAAAATGATTTTAGGATCAACAGCTTATTATCGTTCAGATTATATAATGTTTTGCTTATCATGTTTACATCCTAAAATTATATGGCTTCTCTTTGATAGAAGACGAGCTACTGATTTTCTCCCCTTTAATAGAGAATACATGACAAGCAAGCATTATAGAAACGTGTTCGTGTTATGGCGATGTAGAATTTGATGTCCAGGTTTCACGTTGGTACCTTGGTGGTTGGCATGATACTACATGAGTAATTTGCTTCACTTCTGTATTGAAGAAATTGAAGATGCCATCCCTTAGATTGAGTTCACACAGGCAAGAAAGGTGCAAACAAAAGAGTTCTGGGAAATGTTATAGGAGATAGTCATAAATACATTTTTTTCCTTAATGTTTATGAATTTATTTATCCTTAAAAGAGTATTTCTTAACCAATCTATGTTTTCATCACTTATGTTTATCAGTAGCTTTTCTAAACTGATCGATAACTGAATAGTTTAACAAATTGGACATTCAACTCTATAATTCCATTCCGCTAATTCGAAAAAGCAGATAAATTTTTTGAAAAAAATAGATTAATTTAATGAAATCACTGAGCCTTAAATCACAATAGTGTAATGATTTTTATTGAATTACGTACAAAAAAGAAAAAAAAAAAAAAAAAAGTTTCTTACAAATTATTAACCATAAGAAATTATGGTAGGAATATTTTTCTTATATTGTATATAAATGTGATATATATAATTATAATATTAATAATTTAATAAAATAATTAACTTATGCAATTGGATGGTATCATTGTAGGATCGCATCAATCTAAATCAACAGTCAATCTCTTAATTAATAGATTATCCTATTCAAATTGTTGACAAACTAATGGATCACAACCCTCTTAGAAAATAAATTGCATAGCACAGAAATAACAGAAAAAAGTATCATCTGGAAAGTAAAATCAACATAAAAAGAAGTCAGACAAAAAAAAACTCACTCTGAGACTACTAAGAGATCTGAAATTGTTCAAGAAATTTGAGTTAATTGTGCGTATTTGTACATCTATCTGCCTCCAAAACTTCTGCAAGTAAACAAGAAGATTTGCACATATTTATCTAAATCAACTTATTTAACTAATTAATGTACACTGCATACTTCATATCCCCATAACCTTTTGATGAAAGTGTACATTCTCATTTGTGACAACGCCAAAAAGGGGCAGATGAGTCAGATTACTCGGATGATTTGCTACAATACCGGTATGTAAGAATGAACAAAAAATTACACTAGAAATCAAACCGGAAAAGGATATCATGTTACAGTATAGACCACTAAGCTAACAAATAAACCCAGCAGGGCACCGGCTATGACTTCAAATACAGTGTGCCCAACTGATTCATTCAATGAAGTGCCACTATTGACAACCTTTTCTAATTCTCCGTCTACATCAGCTGCTAAGCCAGATGGGATCAGCGTAGTACATTGATTTATTCTGTTGTCGGATCTAAGCAATAGAGAAGCATTTGTTGGTTTTGATCTTGTGAGACTTGCTTCCTTGGAGAAGCTAGGGTCGAGGCTCTCTAAATTTGAGGATAATTTTCCTGGTTGAGAATCAACCAAATCATTGCTGGAAATCGAGTTCAACTGGGCCTTGAGAAGGACCCGGTTTAATGCTTTTGCATGCGTTCCCACTTCCCTTCTCACCCCCTGCAAAAGCAAAATATGCAACCAGAATGTTTCAGTTTAGAGCACTTTACCCAACCATAGCAAAAGCTACATATCTTGACTAGTACTGCAAACGAGCTGAGCCGTTCGCGAACTGCTTGGGCTCGGCTCGTGAATTACTCGGCTCGAGCTCGGTTCATTTATAAATGAAACGAGCTCGAGCTGAATTATGAGGCTCGATTCATAAATGAGCCGAGCCTGAACATCAGTAGGCTCGACTCGTTTGTTCATGAACCGTTCACGAACTGAGCTCAATAAGGCGTTTGCGAACATACTCGATTATAATATATATATATATACACACACACACACACACATACCCAATTATAATATATACAAAAGTTGGGGTCAGATTGTAATTGTATGTAGCACATTCATATGTAGATATATATTTATATTGGGGTCATATTGTAATTGTATATAGAGTTTGTGTTTATTATGCAAATAAGCCTTTCTTGTCTTTGTATATAAAGACTTTTATGTTTAGGGTTAAAGGAAATTGAGCCTCCAATCTCTATCTGTTCTTTCTCAAACTCTCTCCATCATTGACCACCAACAATCCGCAACCACCAACGATCCCCAACCATCAACGACGGTGGCCGGGATCTCACTCCCTCATCTACCCTCTCTTCTACCTCCGGCATCCCTTCCATCTACCACCGGTGGCTTCACCGCCTTCATCCATCACCACTCAACCCTCCTCTCTCCTCTTCTCTCTCTCCTTATACACACACACACACACACACACACGATATATATATATATATATATATATATATATCTCTTACAGACGAAAGTGGAGTATTGTTGAGAGAAGATTGATGCGAAGTGCGGTGCTGATGTCTAGGGCTCTTACCTTTCTCTCCTTCGACTCCTTACCGAAAACCTCCAATTTCCTTGTTCTTACTTTCTTTTGGGATCTCAGATTTTATAACAGACTTTTTGGGATCTCAGATTTTGATGTCTAGGGTTCTTGATGTGTTCTTGTATGTGTGTTTTGTGCGTTTCATATATATATATAAACGAATTTCGAGCCGAGCTCGAGTATTTGGCGAACACAGTTGAGCCGAGTTCAAACAATGAAGCCGAGGCTCGATTCGAGTTCGAGTCGAGCTCGAACACTCCTGCTGCAGATCGAACCAAGCTCAAACAGCCCACTACTCGGCTTGGCTCGGCTCGATTGCAGCCCTAATCTTGACAATATGTTGGAGATTTATCAACATTATTTGACATACCAATATTTTAAAATAGAGTAATGCAGTTTGCACGACACATCCTTCACCCTAAAAGACTAAGCTGCCTAAGCTCTAAAATGTCATGACAAATGGTTCATAAATTTTTTCAATCATTTTGTGTTCATTACTTTAACATATTTCATTCATTTTCATTAGTAACCATCCATTTTCTGTAAAAGTTTGGACACCTAATTCAGTCTTGTCTCGTAGTATCGTTCTTTTATTTTTTTATATTTTTATTTATTTAATTTTTCACACTTTGAAGTTGTAAGGGGTTGGGAGTGGGAGAGCTAATGGGTACTTCCACAACATATAAAGACTGAAATTTCTGTTTTTATTTTTTATTTTTCTCAATTAAATCAAAATACTTTCTGTTTAATTCTTCACATAATGGATTCCTTAATAAGTTTAGCATCAAATGAACTACACTAGCACCTTTATTTGTTAATCTATTTTTATTTGGGTAGGTAAGCAACAAATGCACACACATACAGACCATGCTGCCCAATATGGGGCTGGAACTGCTCACCTACCCTTTGGGGAGGAGAGCTCATACCACCTGGCCAATGGCCCGGTGGTGGTACTAAACTTGCACTTTGCAAACTCCTTGAATGAAACAACTAACCTTCCTCTTCCCATCGGATATCTTCCGCTTTAGAAAGAATTCCATGTACAATGTACAAGATAAATAAAACCTAGAGAGTCATTAAATGGTAAACTGTTGACCACTTAATGTGACATGATGACGTTTTTTTTCTTTCTTTTTTGGCAAGTTCGTGATGATGATGTTCTGCACTGAATACTTCCTTGAAGACACAACGCTTTTCAATAAGGGAAAATGGCTCATATATGTGAACATATAAGACCCACCATGTCACACGGTTCAAATTACAGTTTGCAAACAAATATCGCTACATGCCTTTAAATTTTTTATAAATTAATACAAGTATCAGTCATGGACAAGTTAGTGCCACCACTTGTCATATGAGACCCATCCAATAGGAGGCAAAGCATCTCTCCGAAGTTCCGAACACAAACAGACACATGTACTCTTAAATTGTATTAGTAATTGTCCTTTTTGAATAAATAAATGAAGAAACAGTTATTGAAGCAGTTCAACCCCATTTAAATCTCTCATCCATAACCACAAAGTGAATGTATGAATGACATCATTGTTTTTAGAAATTGGATCCAGTCTTTATGAAGCACAAGAACAAAAACAAAAACAAAAGAAAAAAAGATGCACGTTATTGACAATTATGCAAGAAAATAGTCTATAACGGGCATAACTACCCATAATATGTGTGGTAGATGTTTGATCTGAAGGACCTATTCAAGACTTCAGTCATCAGGGCAACTAGGGATCCTTAAGACATAAACTTGCTAATACCAAGTGTAGGTTCAAGTCTAGATGAGACCTACCACTGCATGCTCATGTAACAAATCTTAAATTATAGGGTTGGTTGGATATAACTCCTTTCTTGTTTTTTCTTTTTATTGATCGCCTTGTAATGTCTTATTAATGATCCTTGTATGTAATACTGATTTTCTTATTTTTGTCTTTGGATTAGTGAATGGGGAATGTCAACTGGTCACTACACTCCTAGCCTCCCAAGCTCTCGTGTGTAATTTCTGTTGTAATGCTATGTAAATATATATATGGACAGCAATACTGAACAAATTCTTAATTTTATTAGTTACACAAAGCACCAAATATTTCTCTCCTCCCTGCACAACTTGTTCATCATCTTTCCTTTCTTTCCCTTCCAAATGCTATTTTAGCCACTTTCACAACTTTAAGCATGCGGGTGACGGTTGGAAGACCTTAAGTTCACACGAGGCCTTGTGAAGGATTGTTGTATCTCGTGCCAGAAATCTAGTGCACAAAGGATGTATCATCTTTAAGGAGATCATAGACTGTGTGCCTCAATCCAAAAAAAAAAAAAAAATCCTAATCACTACATTGGCTTAAATTTTTTTTTTTTCATTTCTGTTTTTTTAAGCTTTAAATTGATTCATAAATAACTCTTTCTAAAATCTATCTCCAAAATTATCACTCAAAGAACCAAAACTTAATCGCATTAGTATTAACCTCGTGAATGTATGAAATGTTGCATTTGACATGGTAAATACAGAATGTCCAAAGAGGTGAAAAGTTCGAGGGAAAAAACATGACATGTATACCTGGGCATCATACATGACAAGGCTAGCATAAACAACTGCTAAACCGAAAATCGCATCTGAGAAACCCCTGCAATTATAAGATGAACACCAAATTTCATACTTCCAGAAGAAATAAGCTGAACCACCAATCAATACTCAGTTCCCAGTTGTTCAAGAATAAAAATAATCAGCTATCATGCACATTTTAATATAACCAAAAAAAAAAAACAATGCAGATGCAGTGTGTACCTTTCAAGGCCGAGGGATGTCGCGGTGGCGACCACTGCCTGTGACAATTGCAAAAAGTTGAAAATCAACAACAGCAATTGATAATCAACCAAAACAACAAAGAAAGAGATAAATGAGTTCAAAAGAATTATTTACAGAGGAATGGGTAGAAGGGAAGCCTCCAGCCTGAAAAACAGCCTTAAAATTGAAACCATTTTTGTTATCGTAAAGAATAGCTGAAGTGAAAGGCTTCGACAGCTGCCCAATTGCCGCAGATACAGCTGCCGCAATCAGAACCTATATATATATATAATATATATATAATAAATGCATAAAGGAAGAGAGGGTGAGAAAAAATAATTTCACTCAGTAGAATTCTTAAAAATAATAAATAAATAATAATAATAAAGCAAAAGAGGGAGAGGAATACGAAATGTTAATTACTACAAGCTGAGATTTTTCTTGGAAATTAGTTCTGTTATAGAGATTATGATGTACTTTATTCTGTTTTACTCCAAACAAAATTAGGGTTTTGAGATAGTGAGGAGAAGAAGAAGAGAACCTTGTTGTGGGCGATGTCAGCGATTTCATCAATTCCAACTTTTAGAGAAGAAAAAAAAGTTTTGGGCTTTCTTCTGAGGAAAACAGTGAGTTCGCCGTTGGAAACAACATTTCTGCGGTTCCTTGAGCGCGAAAATGACCTTGGACTTGGAGACTGAAGAGGGTTGGGCAAGCTCCAACTTTGCATTGACATCGTCCTATCTCGCACACTTGACCGATTCCTTTGAGCGGGTGTACTATTTGTTGGTAGATGATACATACGTACATACATAATATATATATATATAATTATAAAAAAAAACGAACATATGGTTTGAATAAAAATAGGTGTTTATTTAATTGATTGCTTTTGACAATTTTTAGTATTAGTGTCACTCAAAATTAGGGCATATTTAAATTAAGAGAGATTATTAATTTTTTTTCTGTACAATTTATTTTATTTAATTTTTTTTTGACAAAAAATTCACATACATCCCTCTTACACTCACTTTATTTTTTTTTTAAACTGAACCTTCACACAATTCAAAATGCTATTGAATAAATTTTAAAAACCATTTAATAATAATTAAAACTTTAAACATTTGATTAAATGGTTAAAAAATCCATTAATTGATTTTCATTTTTATCAAATAAAACATTGGTTAGGCTTCCATACTACAAAGATGAAATTCTCTATATATATTTTTTAAATAACAGTATGTTCATATCTAACGAAAACTAAATTAATATTTATTACTATCATTTTCATGTTTGACTAATTTACTTCATCTTCAATTTTTCATTTTAGAAGGTGAAAAAAATGGTATTAGATCACGATATTTGATTTTATTAAAATGATAATTATTTCGTTACGTGTTACTCTAATTATTTTGTTAAATTCTAACATTGTTGTATGATCGAAAGTAATTAAATTATAATTAAAAGTTTCAATTATGCACTCAAGTGGTTTGAATGTGTTAACTCGTTTTAACTATAAATTAACTATAAATGAGAATTCCAAAAGTGAGATAATCATGATTAGACACAAATAAAAAAATTAAATAAAATTTACCCAAAATTAACACATTTTTTTTAAGCGTCCACTAGTAATTAACAATGTAATAATTTCTTCACAATTAGACCAAACAAACTGACCCGTATGACATAGTTCAGTTCCAAAGTGATCTAGTTTGTGTTAGGTTCTAATGTTCTATAGGTGTGCCTTTTTATGCCTGTGACTGATTTTTTGTTTCACTTTATTTTCATCAATTGTTTGTTAATTATTTTTTTTAAAAAAATCACTATGCCGATTTCTTAATTATTTATAATTTTAAAATTTTAGTATGGAATGGATCTAAAATTAATATTATATAATTTGAATTATCAATTTGCACGGTTCATTTTAATTTGATTTAAATTTACTTTAACAAATCCAACAATGCCTTTTTTTTTTTTTTTTTAACACCAAATTGAAATACAATTGAACAGAAACAGAAATACAATCAATATTAAAAACATTTAACAACCATTAAGATCATATACTCCAAACAAAATCACTAAACTGGCTTCCAAAGCCTTTCTACTCAGCAGGTAGGCCACCAAATTTCCTTTTTTAGGAGTCCAATGCCCACACAAGGCTCAAGAAGGATGGAAATATCCTCATAGACAACTACAAGAGCTGATTCAGATGGGATCAAACTCATCACAGGTTTATAATCACCTTCCACCACGACATAATGGTATCTGTCACAGGGCTAAATTATACCACGAATTTTTGCCTCTGCAATGGCACTTGGGCCACCAAGTCTCAGCCAACACAATACACACAGTTACAGGGACAAGCCCCAACCTTTACTCATATTAAACATATTACAAAGGAACATGAGTTCGTACAAGGAACAACCAAGGCTCACACCCTCTTCTCTGTTCCCTCTACATAGCCCACCTTAGCATTATATAGGCCACTCTCAAAACCGCCCATAACTGCCCACTAAGATGATGGATGACACCCCCATCCACCTAGGGTCGTGCTGGCACCCTCTAAATGTGCCAGCACTATAATGCAGTTGACAAGCCCAACTGTTAGACTTGTTGGCATGTTCTGCTTATGCCACATAACCACAAGAAGTTACATTCTGCATAGTGGAGGAAACCACCCTTAACCGCCTGTGTGTTGGTCCTCTCAGAATTGTGCCACATGTTTGGGAGGTTACTCAGCACTCCCCCACTTCCCATGATGAGTGGGAAGTGCTAGTAACTTCCCCCAACCGACCGAGCCCACTAAGCCACCACCTCTTGTAACCGCAAGCTATGACTTTGTGTTGTCCATGCTCTAGCCACATCTGAGTCAACCTTGTAAACATAGCCCAAGCCAGGTCCACCAATCTGCACCCACATATATATGTCTCTGAGTGCACGGCGTGCCAAGCCATGCACGCCCGTGCGCACGCTCGGGTGCACACCAAAGTGCACGCCGACGCACACACTAGTGCCCTTCTTCGCGCGCCATGTTTGAACCCTCATGCGCCCGTGGCTGTACACCCACCTGGACGCCCATGCGCACGCCGAGCTAGACGCTCGCGCACACTAGGTTAGACGCCAGCCCGCGCGCCCACCTGCACGCCCGCAAGCGCGCCGCTGCACACCAGCGCGCGTGTCGGTGCCCACTTGTTTGCCCTTCAATATATTGGATGCTCCCCACTTGTGCAACCATCTTGGAGTGGTGCAACACGTGCCCATGTACGTTGACTAAGCCCTTTAAGCAAGCCATGCCATAGCCTAACCGATGTGCTCAACAGACCCCCCCTAATATAGTTTTAAGGAAATCCAGCACTCTGATAGGAGTAAACATCACCCATGCTTGAGGAGTCGTAATGGCCTTTCAGACCTTTCCCGACATCCAAATTGAGTGCCGTCTGCGCCAACCAGCTTCTATGGACTCAAGGTACCTCCCATAAAGATTCCGAGTCAAAACTCCAAGTTTCACTTTTCGCCATATTTACGAAAGTGCCACTGGGCACCCCCAGTGCACGTCGAGCATCCTTTTAAGCATCTTGTGTGCACGCTGAGCATCTTGTGCACGCTGATAACCCCCTGAGCAATCTTCATGGCTGTCTAACTAAAGCCAAAGTATTCCCAAGACATGGCATGGCCTTTAAATGCCCATGTCTTCCCTTGGACAACCGTCAAGGGGCTAACAGTATCCCTATGCCTTCAGCAGCATGAGAGATTCCCGAAGCACCAAACATTTTACTACAAAAGGGCTGCAAACATTTTTGAGAAAAACAGAGGGTACTCTTATAGGATGACCAAAATGGTTTCTAATCATCATACCACCTCCACAAGACTTAGAAGTCACATTGAAAGAGGCATCAAAATTTAATTTAAGACCACCAAAACGTGGGGCGAGCCACACGACTGAACGAATCGGATGAGGAATGTGAGGCAACGAGTACAATTCATTTTGTTTGCACACATCCTGAAATTCATGGAAATGATTGAGAGCTCGTTGAACAGTATCAATAGGCTTCCACCGTTTGCTGTTAAACATAAAATCATTTATACTTTTCCAAATAGACCAACAAATGAATGCAGCAAGGCGAATGCAATCCGTTAAGGCATCGCATGAATTCTATAAAACAATAAGATTATACCAACTTTTCAGCCAAATAGAGGGATTTTTACAACTAAAATCCAATTTGAAAGGGCTTAGCTTCCATACCTGGCATGCAAAAGGGCAAGTACAAAGAATATGATCAATGGATTCTTTAGCAACAGCACAAATTTTTACACGTAGCATCAGTAGAGACCTTTCTGATCTTGAGTTGTTGAAGCATGGGAAGGCACTTGTGAAGACATTGCCACATAAATAGTTGGATCTTCCTGGGAGCATGAATTTTTTTGATAGCCTTCCATAAACTTTTCCTTTCCGGTTCAAAGTTACACCCTGCTACTTTAGTACATGTCAATGGAAAACAGACGAACCTTTTGATAAAAGTTTATTCGGAGAATAGCTCAAAGCCACAGGTCTGCCGGGATGATTCGCGAAGAATCAAAAGCCCACACCTTCCAAGAGCAAATCATCATCCCAAAGCTCTAAATCGATCGAAGTTGTCTGTCCGGTGACTGGAACCTTCATTAGAAACATTAACAGTGGCCAAGGTGCGCCACCCAAAAAACCCTTATCTAACGATGATATGACCCCTGTATGTCAGGATAAGTGTGGTCCAACTTATGGTCCACATATCAATTACTGTGAGATGGAAAAATATTGTTCACACCTGGTTTCTGGTTCCTTTTTGCCAGTGGATAGGACGGATCAAAATCGGATTTCTCCAACTAAAAACGTTAGTGAGGCAGGCAGTTCATCTAACCAGGTCCTGGACTTCGCATCTATGCCTATTGATACTTTTGAGGGTCACTGTTCCCCAGCTGACGTAGAAAGCCCACCCTCGCTGGGCCCATTTTCAACTATGGACCATACCTATTTGGCTAACCTACTTTTTAAGCCGCCCAGCACACCCTTAACATAATGTCTGACCTCCCTCCGATCCATAATACTACGTTACCTGCTCCTTCATTGCCTCTACCTAAACCCATATCTCTTTGTATCCCTCTTCATCGCTCGTGGAAAAGACAAGCAAGAGGTAAGACAGTGCAATCCACTGTAGCGCAACCTAAAGTTCAGAAAAGGAAAAGCTCTCTAGAAGACTTACCCACTCAGGTAACTCCAAAGAAATCCAAAGTCGATTGTCCTTCTGTTGTTTGCAGCGAACCTGAAGATGTTTTGTTTCCCTCTCTTTCCAAATCGATGGTGGACACTAGCCTCGAGTGGCCCTACCCCCCTCAATGAGGGTTGTGGTGTGGAACCGCCGGGGTTAGTTTACCTTTATTTCCCTCCGTTGATTTTTCTTTCCGAAATAAAAAATAATGGCGATCGTGTGGATCAGATCCGCCAATGTTTAGATTCGTATGATTCGTTTATGGTCCCATCTACGGGCCGCACGGGTGGTTTGGCAGTGTTTTTCTCCCCGGAGTTTGAAGGTTTCTATAGTTAATTTTATCGAATTCCAAATTACATGTGAAGTGATTGGGGTCAGGGTGATGCCCCTTGGTATTTTACAGGCATTTAGAGCAACTCCAATGCAATGTCATTTTGAGTTGTCAAATCTATATTTTAATGCTCTTTGAGCAAGAACGGGTTAGCCAGTGGAACTATATCCATAGCCTTAAATTTCAATTGGGGCCGAGATGGATTTTGATAAGAGATTTTAACGTTCATAAAGATGAGAAAAAAAGGTGTTTCACTAATAAGGGATAAGAAGTAGCATCACGAGGTTTAAAAAAAAAAAAAAAAGTTGAAACAGAGCTTCCATGATACTTCTATTTTTTATTTGAGACAAAAATAAAATAAAATAAAAAAAGCAGCATCCATAAAACTTTTTTTTTTGAATATATATATTTTTTTTATAGAAAAAAAAAAAGGAGACCCGCAGTACCCATTTCATAAATTTATCTTTGTTAAAATATCTATAATACCCTCGTAGCAAATTATAAATTGTCATTTTTACCCTATTTTCAATGTGGAAAGGTTTGAGAGGGGCACCATATCTTTACCCTTGGATAATCTATACATACATATCAGTTGGTATATATTTTTAGGGTTTATTAATTTGTGTGTCTGGATGGCGAATCAGCTATACGGCTACAACCCTAGCAGTTACGGAGGAGGAGCCAATCTGTCCAGCGTGTATTCTTCAAGGTCACTCACCGATCCTTACCTGCCCACAGACTCTTCCTTGTCCCGATACCTGAGTTCAAATCCGTCCAGCTATTCCGGCATCAGTGGATCCTCCATGCTCTTCAATCAAAGCGACTCCCTCCGGTACTCCACCGCCGACCTCGGTGGCGCTTACTCCGCATCCGCAAGAGTTGGAACTCCTGCCACCGCAAGTGCTTCATGGGCCACCGTTGATGTTTCGGACCCTCTCGCTGGCATCAAGCGCCCCTCCGAAGGTATTTGAGGGTTTTCTCGTGGTTCTTTCTTCAGCATTTCGTATTTTTGTCATTCACAAAACCTTTTCCTTTTCAATTCCTAGTTGCATCATCTTGCATTCTGGACTATATTATTAGGTTGTTTTGCACATTCAATTTTCAAACCGAGATTCCATGCTCAGCGACCTGAGCCCATTTTACGTTTTTGTGAACAATAAATTAATGCTTCCCTAAACGGATGCACACTATATTTGGTGTATCTGCGTGTGTGTAATGAGATATACATTTCGATGGTTTTTGGTGTATTGATTGAGGAAAGAGAACTTGTTCTGGGTACCTATATATTAATTGGTAGCTTTTAGTGTGCTCATGGATCTGAACCATGTTTTTATTTATTTATTTATTATTTAGTTATTTTTTATATAAGTTTTGGATATGTAATTGCTTGGGTCTCATGAAATATATAATTTGTAGTAGGTTGTATGTGTTGTGTTGTGTATGAATTGAAGATGCCAAAGAATATTTCAAGCTAAACGAAGTTAGGAACTATTAACATAAGGGGAACAGATCATTAGTTTCAAAATCAAGAATGAAGTACTTTTTTATGTGATTAAAATTTTTTTCTGACATGTATCCAAATTCAACTGGATGCTTTGCAATTTTATAATATATTTGCAAGACCAAATGCGATCCAGTGTGTGACTATATATTTTGCAAGAGGTCTTAGATAAGGAAATCCACTCTCCTTCTCTTTTCATTATGGTGATGGCGGCTGAGTTGTATGATTGGGAGGACCGTGCTGGGTGGTTTCTTGAAAGATCGTCATCATCATCTCCTTTTATTTTTTATTTTTTATTTATTTTTATTAATATTTGCTGGGGAGAAGATTGGGGGGGTGTGGGTGTAGGTTAGGGTAATTCATTTAGAAGTTTTCAATTCACTATTTGCAGGAAACAATCATCTTCTGTTTAATTAGTGTCTGGACATAAAACTAATCTGAATCAAGGATGTCTTGATTCCTGCAAGGGTGGTGGAGGGGTGAAAAACTTGGCTGCTATTCTCGCATGTAAGATAGTTTCTCTTCCAGGTAATAACTTGGGTCTCCCCTTAGTTCTTCTTTGATGTTGTTAGGAATATTAGATTCATTTTTGAATGGGTTGAGAGGAGATTAGCATAACAAGAGGGACAGCATTTATCTAAGGGGGAAGGTTGATTCTCATGACATCTACATGTTTCCAGATTTACCACAGGTGGCTGAAAAAGTTTGGGAAACTTTCAGTAATATCTTCTGTGAGGAGCTATTGAAGATGAATTCAAGAATTAATTGAAAGACGGTGTGCATTTTTTGCATGATTTAGGATTATGGCTTGGATATTTGAGATTTTTAAACAAAAATCAATTGGGTTAATAGTAATAGAGGTATTGGTTGAGATATACAATTTATTGAGGAACATGGTGGAAGCTGTAGAGTGAGATTCTAGGGAGGTTCAGTTCTCTTATGGCTTGGAGGTTGGAAGAGCATTTGGAAGGAGTGGAGTGAGTTTGCAGAGCATATTACATTTGATATCCTTAGCATTGAGCAAGTTAGATTTTTCTTGATTGTTGACTGTTGTATCAATCCTCTGCTTGGCTTTTAAGGATTGCATTATAGAGGTAGGGTTTTGGGAGAGAATTATGGAGGAAAGTGGTGGAGGTATGAGAGGAAGAGGGTGATTGGTGTTTCAGATGGGTTCTGTCAAGAGTCTGGAAGAGAATTCAAAATTGTTGGGATGAGTTCTTAAAGTATATTAGATTTAATATCCTTAGTGGTTAGTGAGTTAGGTTTTGTTTGATCATACCTTTGTATAAGCCTTTACCTGGGATTTTCAGGATTACAGTGCGGAGGTAGGCTATGGTGGCAGCTGTATCAGGCATCAGTATTGTCAAGGGAGTGTGATGGTGTCAGATGTTTGCTTTCATAGGATGTTGGAGACCAGGAGATCCTAAATGGGTTTAATTTCCCTTTGGGCTATTACTTACATTGTTGTGAGCTCACTAGTTCCTTTTTGTTGGATTACTGGAGGTCTTCTTTGATTTTTCCCTTCGGTAAGTCGGAGATCCTCTTTGTTGATAGATTATTTTGTAGAGTTTTTGAGAGAGATGGGAATTTAGTTCCGTATTTTTCCTTCTGTGTGTGCTTCCTATTTACAAGGATGCATCCCCAATTCGATGCTTTTTAATTATACATTTATTTATTAAATAATAATATTTATTTAATCAACTTAAAATGAAAATGAAAACTTGTAGTATTGTAATTTCAATATTTAGTCAAATACATGTTTTTTTAATAATATTCACTGTATCTATGTCTTTCTAGTAATATATGTTGCTACTCCAAACTATTTTGTTCATACTTATATAGTAACATACATATCTGCTGTGTTTTTTTTTTTTTTGGTTTATACTTGTCTACTATCTACAGTAGCGCTCTATCATCAGACTCTTCTGGGTGCCCATAACGCAATTGGGCAAAGTGAAGGATGGTATTCTACCAACCCTTTAGTCAAACGCCCTAGATTCGAGAGTGCAAGCAATTTGCCTATTTATCCACAGAGGCCAGGAGAGAAGGACTGTGCCCATTATATGCTCACAAGGACCTGTAAGTTTGGAGATAGCTGCAAGTTTGACCATCCTATTTGGGTTCCAGAAGGGGGAATCCCAGATTGGAAAGAGGTGACCATTTATTGCTACTTTTATTCTCTACTATAATCATAACCTATTAAATTACTTACAAACATAATTTGTTATACAATAACTTTTTCTAAATTCCATTTCCGGTGGATGTCCTTAAACTGAGTTGATGTCATAGTATGAACTATGTGTTCACAGTTAGTTCTATGATTGTTTATTCATCCAAAAAAGGTTTTTATGCTTGTTTATTTTGAAGTCTGAGTAATTTTCTACAATACTAGCTTTGTTTGTTCTTCTTATTTTCATTTATAATATTTCCTGAAAATTGCACTTAGTAGTTATTCTATTATTATTAATTATGTCTTTGGTTTGTTTGAGGTGTCTACCCATCAATTATTTTATATAGCACCCCTGATATAGGGGAGAAGCCTCCAACAAGAGTAGAATGGTTACCGAATTTATTAACTTGACAAGTATAGTAAGCAATTAAACATTTGCACTCCCTCCCCCAAGGCCACATTTTGATCCCAGATTTTAGTCATTTGGTTCTAAGCAATTAAACATTTGCTACTTTTATATATTGTGATTTTTTTTTTTCTTTTTCTTTTTTGGTGGTTCCAAAATCCCATTTCTTCCTTCAGTTAGTTATATAGAGAATGTATCTCATTTTTTAGCATTGGATAGATTCATCTCATATGACTACTCTGTTGGAAAACACTTAAAGCAGCAAGAAATAAAATAATAAATGATTTATGAGTTGAAGGATATTTGTTGCTTGAATTTTCACAAATAATTGGTTACTTATAACATAAATATTATAAATCTTTAAAAGTAGATAAACCAAATCTAACTCAGTAGAGCTTTGATTATAAAGCACTTGGGGCTGGCTATGCAACTTCTTAGCTCGTGTTATCTCAGGTAGCACAGAGCATGATACCAAGACAAAGTGGCAGTTGGGAACTTCGTGTGGAGCCTGGTTTATGACCTTCTCTAATTATGTTTTGGTGTAGTCCACGTCATTATGAAAAAGAGAAAATAAATTAATCTGGATGGTAGGGCAAGATTGTGCAACTTAAAATGTGTTGTTATAAACAGAACCTTGTTCAAACATTAATCTAAAAGCTTTTGTATAAATAGGGTATGGAGTGATAAGTGAAATGTCACCAAACATATGAAGCTGAATGTTCCATTTCTCAGCAAAAATCTGTATGTTCTTGCTGAAATTCTAGAATGAAACGGTGTTGATGATTTCAGTAGTGACATTGATGCCTATTTCTTGGTGAAATATAGAACTAAGTTAAAGGAATTGATTCAAGAAGAATGTATGTAGGTTAATTATGTAAAAGAATTTACATTATGTTGATGAAATTTGGACAATACATTTCAGTGCAATTTTAGTGATGCATCCAGTTTTAGTGTATATCCGTTTCTTTTTGTGGCAAGGAAGTTGCATATACACACTCATTTGTCCCATTAAGGTACATACCCTCAACCTTCCGACCTTCCATTCTGAAGGAGGAGATCCACTTGGGCTAGGTAAATAATGTCCTTACATTCTCCTCTAGAGTGATTCTTCTTTTAACGTATGATGGATAATGTCCGTGTAATGTTGGATATCTATCGGTGGAAGTTGTTATTGGACTTCCAGCATTGTGTGTGTTATATATATAAATATGTCCACATATAGTTTGTAGGTTATTTAGATCCATTTTTGAGCTAATTGTGATATATGATTACATAGAGGTGTATTTCTTTTAATTCAGTTATTTAGGCAAACCATTTACAATATACTTTTGGCTATTTACTCATTTGATAGAATTTACTTGTTTTGAGATTTGCACAATTGAACAGGTATAAATATTCAAGTTGATTCTGCAGTCTGCACTTCAAATTTCTGCTTTACTCCATTATTTTTCTGCTGGAAATCTATTTCTATCTTTTACATGAAAGAATGAACTCTTGAGGGGTTCCTATATAGGCTATATTTGAAATGAACTCTTGAGGGGTTCCTATATAGGCTATATTTGAAATTTTATCAATTACACCTTTTTGCTCACTTCCATGTTACAGCCAGAATTTGGATCATGTGAAATTGTTGTTGCATTTTTGTAACGCATTTGCATGATAATATTGCTTATTGACACAGGTTCCACTTATTCCAAGTGAAATCCTTCCAGATAGACCAGGAGAGCCAGATTGTCCTGTAAGCAGAAGTTTAAGATGCCTTTGTACTACTTTTTCTTGCAGTATTCTTGTAACTTTCTTACTGGATAAATATATTGTATTCAATGTCCCTTCAATGTGTCCCCCAGTACTTTCTGAAGACTCAAAGATGCAAATTTGGTCTTAGGTGCAAATTTAACCATCCGAAAGATAAAATTCTCTCTTTGGTAGGTGCCAGTGATTTAGTGGTTTGCCATCATGTTAAATTTTTCTGTATATGTGTTTCTGTAGTTTATGGTTTTATTGTTGAATTTGACTTACAGGGTGCTTTGGAGAACGCTGATGTATCTGTTTTACCTGAGAGGCCATCTGAGCCTCCTTGTGCGGTATGATATATTGATTTTGCTCATTGGAGCATCTCATGCATATTGTATTATTACTTATTTGATGATCTTGTATGCATGTGCGCAGTTCTATATGAAGACCGGAAATTGTAAATTTGGTGCAACCTGCAGATTCCATCACCCAAAAGATATCCAAATACCAGCAGCTGGGCAGGAAAATGGCAATAGCGTGCAGACTGAATTAGCAGCTAATAGTGATGCTTATGGTGTGAAGCAACTTTTTACCCCGGCATTATTACACAACACCAAAGGGCTTCCTGTGAGACCGGTAATATATATTGACAATTATCAGTGGATCAATGAACTGTTGATGTGTTTCTGATATTGTTTTACTTGCATAGCTGTGTGGTTGATTTGATCAATTGGGCTTTGCTGTGGTTTGGCCTGCTTGATCAAATTTTATCATTGCATTGATTATTGGATTAAAAAAAATGATAGATCAAAACAAAGAGAAAAAAATTTCAAATTTTATTTTCTTAACTCTTTATTTTTCATCTTGATGTCCTCTGTAATGTACTACTGAGTTTTAAGATCATCTTATCCGAATCACTTAAAATTTACCTATTGACAGGGTGAAGTGGACTGTCCATTCTATTTGAAAACTGGCAGGTGATTCTCACACTATCTAGTGAAAATGGCACCACTTTTTGTTTTTTCAAAGCGACATTACATTAGATTGAAGAAGTATTTTGGATTCATATGTTTTTTATTTTTGGAAATCAGCTGCAAGTATGGGGCCACTTGCCGTTACAATCATCCAGAGAGAACCGGTAAATTTCACTGGCGTTCTACTATGATTCACATTGGGAATTTGTCAAAAATGATTTGTTTAATACTTGTCATTTAATATTCACTCTCAGATGTTTTTGCAGTTTTCAATCCGACTGCTGCTGCAATAGGCCCTGCCTATGTAGCCTCCCCTTCAGCTCATTTGAACATTGGAGTTGTTAATCCGGCCTCTATTCTGCAAACTATTGACCCTAGGCTGACTCAGACTACGGTAAATTGGATGTTGTTTATACTTCCAAATGATTTTTTGGTTGGTGTGTGTGTGTGAAAGACTGACTATACCTCGCTGTATACCAGTGACTAGTGCATGTGTGAAAGGACAGAAGCACTAGGGGGTTGGATTAACTTCCTCACATATTTATGCCGGGAAATAAGTGTTCTTTAGCTTGTTATTGAGTTTCAGTTGGCTCAAGTCAAGTTTTAAGTGATGGATTCTTCTTTAAGTAGTACTTCCATATTAGTTTTCTTGAGCTGAGATATTGCTGTTGTCTCAGCATGAATTTATTTTTATGATTATCATGAGCTTTTTTCCATTGTTAGTTTTTCCTCGTTAGGGACTATGGACGGCCATGTTACCTCACGACACTAAAAAAAACAAAAATCCTAGCAAATAGATGATCCATGAATAGTAACAAAGACGTTTTAATTTTGTTGCCCCAACAAAGCCCAAAAAAGAACAAAAAGAAACTTCACTTGAGGTAAAAAAATCTGTATCATCACTTTTCCCACCCTTCTACTTGATTTATAAGCTTGAGGTATCATGAAGTACTTTTAAGTTTTAACTTACAAATAATCTCTTAAACCTTTTATGTTAAAAATATGTACTATGACTTCTATTGTAAAAATTTTGTAATTATAATTTATATATATTTTCATTATACTAGTGTGATTTTTGTTTTCCTATTTTCTATATTGGCCTCTTCAAGTGAACGTTCCTGCCTGTGTCCTCCGCCTCTATTCAATAAATAAATATTCTTTGACCAACCATATCGCATAGAGAATGAAACAAAAGGACGAGATATATTGAAATGCATGTATATATATATATATATATATGTATAGATGTGGGTATATATATGTATGTGTATACACATAATTTAGTGACATCTGTCCTACTATGGCCACTGCTTCAATAAGACCTTCCTTTATCCTTTTCTTTTTAAGTAAATTCAATGTTCAGACTTTATACAACCGTATAAATCATGGACATGTTGGACAAGTGTCTAGGAGTGTCCATAAATGTTTTGGTTTCTAACATGGACACAACTCCTTGAAAAGTGTCCATGATTTGTGGTATGTGTATCATTACTATTTTCTGCTTTTTGGTCTCAGTTTTCACTTGATATTAAGTTTGTTTTGAAATGCAGTTATGGAAACTTTAGCTTAACACTAACAAATGTTAATTTTTGCATGTTATGTTGCAGCTCGGACTAGGCCTATCTATCCTTCCTCAGCGACCTGGACAGATTGAATGCGATGTATGTAATTGTTTGATTCTGTATTCCAGTGGTAAATAATTAACTGAATAGTTTGGTCTGGAAAGCATATGACCGCATCTAGGTTGTCAACTATAGTTTAATATATGGTTCTAGAGATGGACTGGAATTATTATGGATTAATTCATTACTATGAACCGTGGGCCTATCTATCTATCTTCAGCAACCTGGACAGATTGAATGCGATGTGCGTATTTGTTTGATTCCATATCCAGTGGTAACAATTAGGTGAATATTTTGGTATGGAAGGAATATGATCACATCTAGATTGTCTACTATAGTTTTATACTAGAGATGGACTGGAATTTTATAGATCAATTCATTACTGTGAACCTGAACCATGGGACGATTATTACAATTTATCATTCCCCTCTAATTGAAATAATTAATACTTTTTAAAAATTTGTTGATCAGTTGAAAGAATTCTATGTAATATTTTAGTTAGTTGCAGAGGCAGATTTACTAGTTTTGTTGTTTATTCAATTGAACTTGAAGTAAATGTTTAAAAAAATTAGCAGTTGACCATTTGACTTCCTTGTAAACCAATTTGTGCTAACTTTGTGGATTTAACTGTTTTACTGTTCTTATATTTTTTTTCTAAAAAGAATCTTGCCTTTTTTCCTCCCATCATTCTAGTTTTATATGAAAACCGGGGAGTGTAAGTTCGGGGAAAGATGCAAGTATCATCACCCTCTCGATCGGTCAACACCGGCACTGGCAACAAAGGAAGCTCAACAACAAAATATTAAGCTCACTCCTGCAGGCCTACCTAGGAGAGAGGTATGAACTCTGTGGTTATTTAAATAATCTAATCAAGAAGATAAGCTGTGTATCTTGTCCTGAAAAGTGCAAATAATATTTATGAACAATTGAAATTATTGTTGCAATAAGTGGTTATATTTTGATTAATTCAGTTATGCATGCATCTTTGTGTATTGTCCTAGCTAAGACTGGCAGCATTTATTTGGGATCTAAACAATTTTAAAGTTGTTGGTTACTTTCTGAACTAGCGTAAGACGTAGAAAGGTAGACAAATATTTTCACCTCTTTGTATTAGAGCATCCGCACTGAGTACGTAGTTATACGGTTGCATAAAGTTACACGAGGCATATTTTGGTAGATAAAAAAATGATGTGAATCTTTTATCAAGAGAAAAACTTGCAGGACCAAAGCTTGGAGACTAGGATATGAAGTTTGTTTATGAAACATAATCCATCGTGTCACTTCGCTAATTCAGTAGCATTTCTTAGCTTGTAAGCAAGTAACATAACAAGAACAATGTTTGCCTTCATTTTATCAAACTAGAACAAAAATTTAAGGGACTTCATTGTATTTTGCTATTGTTGAAGAAACATGCTTGTGCTTATTTCACAATGTGAAGTGCAGCAAGTGCTTATGTTATTTTTTGTTTCAGTGGGTCAGTATCTCCTTCATTGATAAGGTTGATTTTCAGAGATTCTTGTTGTTGTTGGAGCTTTTTTAATCATTGCCTTGGTGAATAGACTGGGAAACTGTGTTGAATCAGGTTTTATTTTTTACCCAGCTTTTTAGAGGAGTTCTGGGTACTTGCCTAGGTTCAATCCACATGCATTTTGCTTTAGCTTAATGCTTTGTTTGGTAGGAAGGAAGGAAGAGGGGTGGAGGGAAGATAGGAAGGAACAAACTTCCTTCGTTTGGTAGAGAGGAGAGGAGGAGAGAAAGGATAATAGGTTGGATGAGTAATCCTTCCACCTTTCCAAATTTTCATCACTCCAAATATATGCGGAAGAGAAGAGGGAAGACAAGTGGGAGTATTATACTATCCTCTATAAATTACAATACTTTAAATAGTGACGGGTATAATGTTTTTTTTTTTTTTTTTTGATAAGTAATAAGTGACTGGTATAATGTTAAAAACAACTTAAAACTCTCTCTTCCCTTGTCTCCTTACGAACACAATAAATTCTGAGCTTATTCTCTTCTCTTCCATCTAACCGAACAAAAAGAGGGAATGACACATTCTCTTCTCTAGTGATGTCTCATCTATCCTTTCTTTTCTCTCTTCCATCCAATTTTTTTCTTTCCTACCGGACAAAGCTCAAGTTAATTAGGTATTATAGAGGTGGTGGTTATTGGCATCAATGCAATCACCTTTTGTGGGGTGAGAGGGACATAAGGTAAGTGCCTTGGTTAAATAAACAACAATGATTTAATGTGAACTATAATCACTTATGGGGTGAGAGTGACGTTAAGGCAAGTGTCTGAATTAAATATACAATAATTGTCTATTATGAATTATGACCATTTATTCGTAGGTTGCAAGGATCTTACAGGTGTGTCCTAACACCTGTTGATGGGGCTCTGAACTTGAATGAAGCTTGGGTTGATGGGGTTGCTATCAAGGTAGGGACACATTTAAGGAAAGAGATTAAGATGAGGTAAATGATTGAGCCTGGTTGCCTTAGGGTAGGTAGCCAAGTATGGTGTGTGCATTAAAGAAAATGGAACATGGTTCGGACATGGTTAGTGTGACATTTTTTGTGACAGGACAGTAGAAAGAGAGAGAAGCAATGGTTGGTCTGCGAAGAGCGCTCATTTCCTCAAGGTGGGGCAAACTTCTCTCGGTTCAAGTTTAATCGAGGAGAGTGCAGTTGAGGTGAGATACTCAGTTCCAGTCTCCAAGCCAAATAATCCATTGGGATCCCATAAGGTGACACCTTGTTGCTCACACAAGTCATGCTCCAAGCTTAGATAACTGCACCAAAGTGTCCCTTTTATTGATTTTCTCTTAAGAGAAAGCTCCTTGAAGTTTGTAACATTTCCTTGAGGTTCTTTTGGTAGGAGGAAGCTCTTTGAGGTCTTCAGTACTTCTTCAAGTTTTATCTATAGGGAAGGAGCTCCTATAGGTTCTTAATGTTTATTCTAGGTTTATCCATAAGAGAAGAGCTTTTCAAGGTCGTGACATTTCTTTGAGGATTATGAGGAGCATTTTGAGATATTTGGTATTTCTTTGAGGCTTAATTGTAGGGGAGGACTTCCTCCTCGAAGTATCAGTTTAGCCAACCATGTTGGTTTATACAAGTGTTTGTTATACCAAAGTCAACGAGATTTATCCCTCGAAGAGAGCCCTTGTGGTAAGGTCTATGTCTATCCATGCAAGGTCTATGTCTATCCATGTAGGGGCAGCTCAATATAATTTGAGGCCTTAGGCCAAATTATAAAAGTGACCTCTTAATATGTTAATAATATTATTTCAATGAAACTGTTTGAGAGTAAGGCGACACACACTGAAAGTACAAAGAATTTCCCCCAAAACTACTTCACTCCAAATCCCTTTTTCCCTCTCGATTCCCCTTATTTATAGACGGTTACAACCTCCTTTGGCCTGGGCCTTATCTGCTTCCCTTTGCCTGGACTCAACTTCCCTCATTTTAACATGGGCTTCTGAAATGACTTTATGGACCTGGGCCCATCCAGCGCGAACTTGCTCCATCCTGTTTGTCCACACCCGACCCGTCCTATGCAATGTGGATCACACCAAACCCGGGTCATTTTGGTGTCCTCATCTGCCCCCAACAATCTCTTTCCTCATTAATGAGGATGAGATTATTGAAATGACACGATCTTGGTCTGACGGCTTGGAGCAATGACTCGAGGAATCGAACGGCTGGCACAAGAACCCAAGTTTCGAGATCTGCAGCGCCACTTTTTGCCTTGACCTTTTGAGTTCCATGTCGCTTTTACTTCTCCTCTTTATAAATTCTGGTCTCTCAACCTTCACCCTTCCTCTTACCTCTCGCTTCTACTCTCTGTTGCTTTCCTGCACATTCCGGCGATCCTTTTTAATTTCTCCGGCAAGTTCTTCCGGCAAGTCCTTCCTTTTCGATTTTTAGCTACTGTGCCGTTGCTGAGTTCATCACAAACTTTTAAGGTTAGTTTTTTTTTTTTTTTTTTTAAAACCTCTCCTTAAGAGACGCCTTTACTGCCTAGGACTCTTCCCCATTTTTATGGCTTCCCCTAACCTGAACGCCATTCGATCCAAGAATTATATTCCTCGCGACGTTTCTCTCAGAGTCTACCCAATAAACTTAGACGAGAGATCTGGCGAGGGTCTTCTTCCTGGGGAAGTTTTATTCTCCGCCGTTCACTTGAACGTCATTAGGTTCCTCTTACACCCGTTTTTTTGTTATGCTTTCAACAAATTGGGGCTCTGCCCCCTACAAGTTAACCCAAACTTTCTTAGGGTAATTTCAGTCCTCCTGCTCTTGAATCGTGATAGGGGTCTCAATCTTGACATTATTAACCTTCTCCTCTGCTATCGGATTAACAAGATTTCGCAAAATGACTTGTACTATCACTTCTTTCCTATTGACAAATGGTCGATCTGCACTGATAAAAGCTCATTTGAAAAAGGTTGGAGGCGAAATTTAATCGTGGTTGGTGGGAATTGGCGGACTCCGCTCGACCATTCCTTCCCTATCCCTTCTTCCTTTGGAGCATGTTCTGTCTCTGGCTACAAAAAACTGAAAACACATCCTACCGAATGCCACTGTGAAAGTTGTCTTCCCCGTTTTTGCACTTTTTTTTGTAGATGCTTTCAAATTCCCCATGATGAACTAGTTTACAGCGTCTGCAGGGCTAGGCTAGATACCTTGCAAGAAAGTGTGCTGAACGATGTCCCTTCAGCTACTGATTTGCTTACATCTGATAATCTCTCTGACATCTCTCTTTTAGGGTCTACAATGGAGAACATTCAGATCCCATCGTTCAGCAGGAGGAGGCGTCCTGCTCCCACCCCTTCTAACGCTCCCGCCATCATTTCATCATCTACACCTGCTTCCACATCATCTCTCCTTGCTGTCTCTGCCCCAGAGCAAGTTGCGGTTGCCCCAGCTGTGATTCAAGTCTCAAACCGTTCTGCTGATGCGCCCTCTGAGCTCACCCATGCTGAGAACCCTATTGTGGGCCATACTGTTGAAGTCCGTCCTGCTGCCCCCGTCATTATGCCATCAAACATCTCGTCCGACACTTCCTCAAAGAGCACTCGGGATGCTGGAAATTTTGAGGATAATGGGGGGCCAGTTAATGCTGTTTTGTTAGCAAAGAGTTTAGGAAAAAGGCCAATGCCTGAGGGCGGTCATGATCAGAGTGATATCCCACCGACCCGAAGGATCAGGACGGCTTCCTTCAGGGTTACTGAACCATCGCCCCCTGCCCGGTTCTTCATTCCTGAAGGCGAGTCGGCCAGAACCTCTGGTTCAATTCCATCCGTTCTTCCATGGCGACCTTTGCTCAGCAGTGAAGATGGATCAACCATTGGCCCTACTGACTCAATATACAAGGACCCCCTCATCTCATTTGCTTTCTACAAGGGTTTCTGGACCCCCAAAGACCTTGAAATCCAGAACAAGCTATCCTTTGGTGAGATGTTCCAATGGTTTCTGACCGCTGCTATGGAGGTGACTCTTCTTTTACTGAAATGTGTTCCTTTTCTGTTATGATTCCTTAGTAGTTAGTCTGACCTGAATTTCTTTTTCTTCATGCAGACTCTATTCGGGATGTTCACCTTTCAAAAAACAATTGAAACTCTGAACAAAAAGCTTAAATCCCTCTCTGTGGGCCTTAAAAGGTCTGTTGAAGCAGAGAATCTTCTTGAGGCCAGAGTTGCTGAGCTGGTGTCTAAGCTTAGGGAGTCAGAGAAGGGAGTTGCCGACATAAAGGCAGAGAGAGACGGTCTGGCAAACGAGAGGGATTCCCTCAGAGTTGAACGGGATTCCCTAAAGACCGAACGGGATTCTCTT